TTTTTAAATAAAAAAATCATGCCATTGCGATCAATCTCTTTATTTCACTTCATTATCAATGAAGGTGAGAACTTCTGTAAAGTCGGATTTGATTTTAGTTTCAAGTGTCATGAATGTGATTGTGGGTATCAAAAATTATAATAGTATATTGCTAAACCCTTTATTAGTCTCTACCCAAGTTAATTGAGAAACTAGAAAGTTTCAAGCGGATATGCATTATTGGTACTTAATTTATAACATGTTAAAAATTTTTTTTGCTATATTTAATTCTTATGAAAAATGAGTAATTTATTAAAGCTCATATAACAAAATAATTCTCTATATCTAGTAAATTGAAAAGCATTTTTATATTTATAATTTTTTTTAATGAGGATAAATAATAATATTTTCAGCTATCATTTTGGATTCTACTTACATTCCTTTGATTAATTTTGATTCTAATTTATTTTTTATTATAAACATATATTTCTATAATAACTAATTTTAATGAATATAGGTAATAATAAAGTATATATATCAGAGAGGAGGGGATGAAAATACCAATAAAATACTAAAACATGGATTTGAAAACTAATTTACTAAGCCTTCTGAGCAGGGGTTTAGGGTTTAACTTGTGTGATGCTGAGCATTAAATGGCAATTGAATTGATATAAAATTAGGTTTCAATACTAAGCAACTTAAAAGCATGAGTAAGATAAGAAGCAAGCACCCAAATACAATCACTAATAAAACATCTAAAGTTTGTCAAGTCAAGTATAATAGCAAGCTCAAACTTCTACTCACTAGTGCTGACTTATGGAGAAAGTGGTGGTGGAATATGAATGGGATCAAAAGGGGTGTGATAAAATTTTAATAAAGAAATATTAAACACCAGTTTAGAATTATTTTTGCAAAATTTATGTAATTTATAATTTCTACTTATTTTGAAGTTCTAAAGTTACCATGCAAAGGTAAATCTATATTGGTCTAGAGGGGCTAACAACTTTATGTAATGGCACATATCACAAAGTTCTTGGAATTTATAATAAAGCTGGTAATAAAAATGCTAGCCATAGTATATGATTCTCAGTCTTGAGTTGTTACAATGGCCTCATCTGTATAACTTGGTAATATGAAAATTTAATTGGAACTTTTATCAAAGTCAATCTTCTAACCTCTATATTAACTAGTCTAGCATAACCTGGTAAAAGAAAGGTAATAATAATGGTAACTACTCCCACACTTTTTGGCAGCAAATGCAATGACGACCATGATTAATGGAAATGCATATAGACTAGCCCTGAAGTACACCTTCATACTCTGACCAAATTACCCAAAGTTTTGGCCTTCCTCCAAGGAATGAATTTTCAAAAGTTTCGATGACTTTTTTGTCGACTTTTGAATTTAAATTTACTCTGATACAATCTGATTTAGTCAAACATAATCTTGAAATTTGAGAATCAAATTTGTTATGAAAACAAAGTTTGTACTTGGATTCTTAGTTGGGCCTTAAGATCTAAAACAAGATGCCTCACCAACAAAAATAGCATCCAATTGTACACAACACTGTGACAATTTTACAACTTGCTGACAGCCATGGCTCAGGTACTATTCACGCTTGTAGTACTTCTCCACCTAAGTATTCAGGTGATCTTCAAATTGGGGACCTTGCTCAGGTCATGTGTTCTTGGGCCCAGTCTTGGAGAAGTACTACAAACGTGAATAGTTTCTGAGCCATGGCTGTTCTTCATCCATTCTATACGGGGCTTTAGCTGTTGCTATTGGCATTCTTTGCACTCTGACTTCCATTCGCATTAAAAATTTCCCAACCATAGATTTTCCCTTGATTGAATGGGTATTAGCTGCCTCCACGATGTAATAGTCTGAATGCCATCAACCTTGTTGGTTACACCAACTTTGACACCATATTTTGAGATTAGATACATGAAATCATTAGTGGAAATTTTAGGCCAGCTTGCAATCTGTAATTGTACGAAGGCAAAAAGAAGAAGAAAAAATCCATGTAAGAAGTGTATAAATGAACCACTTTTTCACTGTCATAATCATGTGTGTCCGACTGAGGAGCATGGGACTGAACTTACATCACTCCCCCATGGTCCGCCATTCTTCGCCATCATTAATGGTGGTGATGATGATCCACAATCACCACCAACAATATTTTCGAGAATTATTTGATCTTACTATATATTACCTGAGTTGCTTCCACTTTAGAGAGAAAATCAAATTCTCCAACGATCCTTTTCCTCCGAACCCTATGCAACAGTTTTCTTGCTCGTTTCCTCTTGTAGGCTCCAAAACTAGCTGGAACTCGACACACTTTGCAAAGCCTGGATTTAAAGAAAGTAAAGAAAACAGAGAATGCTTGTATCGACTTTCAGAGTACCAAGTCGAAAGCTGCTTCTGGATTTTCCCGATAGAAACCATTCTGTTGCGTGACATGATCAAGCTCCTCTATCCACACGGCAGCACAAATCTCCGCTGGTACGAGCTAAAACCATTGCAAAACTCGTTACAAGAATATTCGGAAGGGAAGGCCACTTTAAGAATCATGGCCGGATTGTTTGGGTGTGGCGGATGCACTCTCCAAAGTCCGACGTAGTGGAGTTTCCCCGGGTGATGTGTCATTGGATTTTCCAAGAAAGACGCATCGCTGGAGAAGCTGGGGATGCTAAGCTGAGTTTGATTTATGGTCTACTAATTTTCACTGATTTAAACAGTAACGTCTCCTCCCTAGAAGCCTGTCGCGAGAAATATCTGATTGTTCTGGAACCCAAGAGAAGTGCGTCATCCAAGACGGTGTATCCTGGGGAAAAGGTAACAAAACTTTGAGCTAAAGTTTCTCTCCAGGTTTGCGTGGAGGACACGTACGGATTCGATGGAGAGAGTTCAGCCTGATTCTTGCGTGAGCTATCTTCTTCTCTGTTTTGCTTTTGCGATAATTCTTCCACTAGTTATAGATTATGACAGACACAGCACATCGAGCGAACAAAAAAGAGGAGAAAATATTTCCCGTTTCTCACAAGTGTGAGGTCTCCTTGTATGTACCAAAGACTCTACGTCATGTTTTTTATTGTGGAAGTTTCCATCTAAAACAATCAAAGGATTGGCTTGTAAGAACTTGTGAGTATGTATCCATTCGTAAAATCTACGATTTGGAACGTGAGTGAGACCTGGTCAGGTCAAAATAGTTTTACCTTAATTTTTTTCGTAATTTAGAAACGTAACCAGATTGGCAATTGAGACTACGCGTGTTTTTGGAGAGTTTTTAATCTCTGACTTTGAGACTTGCCACAGTATATAAACCCCACACTCTTAGACTTATCATCGTTCGCCCCTCTTCCTGAATCGAAGTTTCTGAAGAACAATCTTCTTTTGAGATCTCGAGCGATGGAGTCCAAGAAGTTGATGCTGGTGGTAATGATCCTAGGCGCTGCCGCCGCGAATGTGTTTGTGAGCGCTGCCGACCCCGATCCGCTGCGAGATTTCGAGGGGTCGGGAGCTCTTAGCGATTTCGTGCTGCGAGATGTGTTCAAGAATGGCGTCGTGAGCAATGGACCCGGTGGCGTTCGCGCAGCAATCAACACGACACTGTTCCCAGGAATCACGTGCTTTTCTTAACTCTTTGCCTCTGGAGATCCCAATCGAGGTTTTCCTTGGTTTTCTTTGCAGGTCTCAAGGGATAACTTATGTACACTTTAACATGGTTCCCTGTGGAGTCAATCTCCCACACACGCACCCTCGAGCTTCCGAGCTCCTCACCATGATCTCTGGCGGGCCACTTCAAGTTGGATTCGTGGATACAGCTGGTAGGAAAATAAGATTCTCTCTCTCTCGATCTTATAAAGAACATATGGGGTGATTTTCCAGGAGTACCACGCATCAACCTCTTGAACCCGGGCGATATCACGATATTCCCGCGGGGAACGATGCACTTTGAGATCAACGTCGGGACCAAGCCTGCGTTTTACATCTCGGCTCTCAACAGCCAAAACCCAGGAACTCTGGTAAACAAAAAACTTATCTCGGCTTTTCTCTTAACGTTTTAGTGATGTGTGTGTGTAGACAAGTGGTGGTGCTCTCTTGATGATCCCGGACAGGTCCGCTGCAACTGCGCTCAACGTAGGGCTGGACGTGATCCGGAAGCTCAAGGCCAATATGCTGCCATATACGCCCCGGCTCGAGTTGGCCCCGCCCGCTGTGTGCGTTCCCGGCCGAGACATCACCACCAAGATTTAAGGTCCATTTACATTGTCCACTGTACCTTGACTTGTTTGGCTGTAGTGTGCTGTTAACACTTATATTTAAAGGCTGACTTTATTTCGAAGCAAGAAAATGCTCGTCTCGTGCTGCTGGACGGCAGGGCAGCTGCCTAACACCGACTACCTAGGGGCTGGCGTAACCCTCTACCTAAGAGGGAGCGCTGTGGATGAGGGTAGTGAGTGACTTGATCGCTGTATCACTAAAGCTTGACTTAATGGAGCGGATGTAATGGCTAGTGGTCTCTTTGGGATTCTTGCAATGCCCCAACTAACTTTTCAAATGGTTAAAAACCTTTTCTACGAGAAAAGTCGAGATATGATAAAGAGATTGTTACTGGGATAAGTCTTCGAAGGCTGTAAGGAATTTGAATTAAGAAATTTTCCTAAAGCACACGTTCTCTTGAATGCATGCATGCAAACTCCATGCCCTCTTCCCTCATTTCGTTCTTACCTTTTCTTTTTACATCTCTCTCTCTCTCTCTCTCTCTCTCTCTTCTCCCATTGTTTCTCAAGCACGAGACATTGATCGCATTTCGATACTTTTTTTCTTTACCGTTGGATTTCAAGAAGCTTTGTTGGCAGTGATGATCTTGGGTGCTTGAATGTGTTAGTCGCTGCCGATCCCGATCCACTGCGAGATTTCGCAAGGTAGGGAGCTCTTAGCGATTTCGTGCTACGAGATGTTAATGGGGATGTTCGCAATAGACCCCGTGGTGTTCGTGCTGCAATCAACACGACAATCTTCCCAGGAATCACGTATTCTTTTTTCAGTTCTCAAAACTCATGGCTTGTTCTTTCGTTTGTTTCTATGAAGGTCTCAAGGTGTCCACATTCATATGGTTCCTTGGGGAGTCAATGTCCCACACACGCACCCTCGAGCTTCGGAGCTCCTGACCATGGTCTCCGTTGGGCCACTTCAAGTTGGCTTCGTTGATACAGGCGGTAGGAAATAAGACCGATCTCTCGATCTTGATCTCGTAAAGTTCATTGAATACTACGTGATTTTCCAGAAGTACCACGCATCAACCTCTTGTACCCAGGCGATCTCACAGTTTTCCTGTGACGAATGATGTACTTTCAGCTCAACGTTGGGACCAAGCCTGCGATTTACATCTCGGCTCTCAACAGGAATTCTGGTAAAGAAAACAACATCGCCAGCTTCCTTGCTTTTTTCTGAAGTTATTTATGTTATTCTTTTTTCTTAATAATTTTGTGTATCTGTTTCTACAGACAAGTGGTGGTGCTCTGTTGATGATTCCGGACAGGTCCATTGAGACAGTGCTTAACGTAGAACTGGACATGATAAGGGAGCTCAAAAGGCCAATATGCTGCCATATACACCCCAGCTTGAGTTGGCCCCGCCTAGTGTGTGTGATCCCGGCTGAGACATTGCCACCAAGATTTAATGTTCCAAGCTTTTGTTCTTTGTTTATATTTACCTTTTTTTGAAAATAAAATCATGCCAATTGGCACAAAGGGGAGAATAATGGTGTTTCTGCTGTGATCAATCTCTTTCTTTCACTTTATTGTCTTCAATGAAGGTGAGAACTTTTGTAGAGTCAAATTTGATATTAGTTTTAAGTGTCATGAATGTGACTATGGGTATCAAAAGTTATTTATCAAATATTAAAAGTTTGTCGAATGTGATTGTGGGTATCCAAAATTATTTGTTGGTAAGTCTTTTTAAATATTCATCTTTTAAGTATTACTAGACCTTTTATCAATAGCTAGTTGATAAATTAAAGGTTCCAAAAAAGGGGATAGGTTGAGTATGCATTGTTAGTACTTAATTTATAACATATTAAAAAAAATTTTATGCTATATTTAATTCTTATACGAAATAAGTAATTTTTTAAAGCTCATATACCAAAATAATTCTCTATATCTTGTAAATTGGAAAGCATTTTTACATTTATATGAGTATAAATAATAATATTTTCAGCTATCATTTTGGATTCTACTTATCTTACCTTCCTTTAATTACTTTTGATTTTAATTTATTTTTTATTATAAAAAATATTTTTATAATAAATTTTAGTTAGCATAACTAATTTTAATGAATATAGGTAATAATAAAAATTATATATCATATGTCACAAGCTCATCATTGAGAGCAGGGGATGAAACTACCAATAAAATACTAAAACAATAAAAAGAAAAATTGGATTTAAAAACTAATTTACTAATTCTAGATGCCCACTATATATGCTGAGCAGGGGTTTAGGGTTTGATTTGTGCCCTGATCCTATGTAAAAGATGCCAAACATATTTAATATCTTTTGAAGCATCAAATGGCAATTAAATTGATGAAGGATTAGGTTTCAATGATGGAAATTAGTAAGCAACTTAGAAGCATGAGTAAGATAAGAAGCAAGCACCTAAATACAATCACTAATAAAATATCTAATGTTTGTGATATTAGTATTTCAAATCAAGTATCTCAAACTCCTACTCACTAGTGCTGACTTGTGGAGAAAGTGGGGTGGAATATGAACGAGATCAAAAGGGGTGTGATAAAATTTTAATAAAGAAATATTAAACACCAGTTTAGAATTATTTTTGCAAAATTTATGTAATTTATAATTATTTCTACTTATTTAGAAGTCCTAAAGGAAATATGCAAAAATAAATCTATATTGGTCTAGAATGGCCAACAACTTTATGCAATATCAATATCACAAAGTTCTTGGACAATTTTAATAAAGCTGGCAATAAAAATGCTAATCATAGCATATGATTCTCAGTCTTGAGTTGTTAAAATGGCCTCATCTGTATAACTTGGTAATATGAAAATTTAATTGGAACTTTTATCAAAGTCAATCTTCTAACCTCTATATTAACTAGTCTAGCATAACCTGGTAAAGGAAAGGTAATAATAATGGTAACTACTCCCTTTTTGGCAGCAAATGCAATGACGACCATGATTAATGGAAATGCATATAGACTAGCCCTGAAGTACACCTTCATACTCTGACCAAATTACCCAAAGTTTTGGCCTTCCTCCAAGGAATGAATTTTCAAAAGTTTTGATGACTTTTTTGTCGACTTTGAATTTAAATTTATACAATCTGATTTAGTCAAACATAATCTTGAAATTTGAGAATCAAATTTGTTATGAAAACAAAGTTTGTACTTGGATTCTTAGTTGGGCCTTAAGATCTAAAACAAGATGCCTCACCAACAAAAATAGCATCCAATTGTACACAACACTGTGACAATTTTACAACTTGCTGACAGCCATGGCTCAGGTACTATTCACGCTTGTAGTACTTCTCCACCTAAGTATTCAGGTGATCTTCAAATTGGGGACCTTGCTCAGGTCATGTGTTCTTGGGCCCAGTCTTGGAGAAGTACTACAAACGTGAATAGTTTCTGAGCCATGGCTGTTCTTCATCCATTCTATACGGGGCTTTAGCTGTTGCTATTGGCATTCTTTGCACTCTGACTTCCATTCGCATTAAAAATTTCCCAACCATAGATTTTCCCTTGATTGAATGGGTATTAGCTGCCTCCACGATGTAATAGTCTGAATGCCATCAACCTTGTTGGTTACACCAACTTTGACACCATATTTTGAGATTAGATACATGAAATCATTAGTGGAAGTTTTAGGCCAGCTTGCAATCTGTAATTGTACGAAGGCAAAAAGAAGAAAAAAAAATCCATGTAAGAAGCGTATAAATGAACCACTTTTTCACTGTCATAATCATGTGTGTCCGACTGAGGAGCATGGGACTGAACTTACATCACTCCCCCATGGTCCGCCATTCTTCGCCATCATTAATGGTGGTGATGATGATCCACAATCACCACCAACAATATTTTCGAGAATTATTTGATCTTACTATATATTACCTGAGCTGCTTCCACTTTAGAGCAAAACCTTCACGGAGACTTCCTGGTGTTCTACGACCATAGATGGCTGGAAAGAGAAAATCAAATTCTCCAACGATCCTTTTCATGCAAACCCTATGCAACAGTTTTCTTGCTCGTTTCCTCTTGTAGGCTCCAAAACTAGCTGGAACTTGACACACTTTGCAAAGTGATCACCTGGATTTAAAGAAAGTAAAGGAAACAGAGAATGCTTGTATCGACTTTCAGAGTACCAAGTCGAAAGCTGCTTCTAGATTTTCTCGATAGAAACCTGACATGAACCACGGGAATATTCTAAGAATATTCCATGGCCTGTGCTGTAATGCCTTAAGGGTTGGGAGGTTGGCCTAGGGTTCGCTCTCTTGTTCGTTTCATTGGTATCGGAGCAGCACGTTCTTTTAGGGATGGTGGGTGAGCAAGATATTGATCCTGATGAGGAGTATGGCGTTAGTGAGGATAGCCATGACGATACAGAAGAGACTCTTGATGATGTCGTTCTGCGGCAAGGACGCCAGATTTCTGCAGTTCAGAGCGACATAAAGGAGGTTAAGGATTCTGTCAATCTCATCAAGGATTGGGTTGAATCAATCTCATGTCCATGATTACCATTGGTACGTCAAGCATGCCAAGGATTATGGTATCGTGGAATGGAAATCATCACCGAATGTTTGTGATAGTCAAGAGGTTGATTCTTGGTTGGAATTGTGGGAAAGTTGTTGGTCTCATAATCCTTGTGAGGATAAGGTGAAGATAGATTTCTTTGTGACGAAGCTTACGGGCCATGCTTCTTCATGGTGAAAGAATTACATCAAAGTTAATCCGATGCCGACTTCTTGGACTGATTTGACAAAGGTTTTCCGCGCTTTGTTTGTCAAGAAGTTTGAAGAGGTTGATCTCGTGAATCAGTTGTTAGAGATCCAGCAGGGGACTTTGGATTTGGATGCATATGCCCGCAAGTTCCGTGATCTTTGCCTTAGTCTCACGGGCACCTACAATGAGCTGCTAAAGGTGCAATGTTTCATCAAAGGATTGAGCTCGGTGGATGTGTAGCAAAAGGTCAAGAAGAATTTTCTAGCAACATTGACTGATGCTATCACTAAGGCTCAGATCTTTTCACCCGAACCGTCAGTCAACTTGGTCAACTCTGGTCAACGAAATAGTCCACGGAGTAGTCAACGTGATGACCAGCTTGCTAATTCTTCATATTCGGGGAAGAAATGGTCATTATTCCGTTGTGGCTCGAAGCATGAAGATGGCAGTGAAGCTAAGAAACTTTGTTTGGACCAGCGACAGAAAGACAAGGCGGAGGGCAATTGTTTTCGTTGCCATAGAGCTGGACATCAGAGCAAGGATTGTTCTGAAGGGGTCAATGAATGATAAGGTGACTGTGGTGGAAATTATAAGCAATGATGTGAGTGATAGTGCTTTTGGGGCCGTATTGCTTCAAGTTAGGCATTCTCTTGCCTTTATGAGCCACAAGTTTCATGTCACACAGCAAAATTGACCTACTCAAGAATGGCAACATTATCTATATGGATCGGACTTCCATGTAGTTTCAAATCATCAGTCTCTCCAGATGTGGATCTTCGAGGCTGTAGCGCATGCGATCATGGGATGAGATTTGGATATACTGTCACCGTGGATCCTTGGAACCTTGGGGGATAAATGGGGATAAATGGGGATAAAATAGTCACTAAGGGCTCTCTCATCAAGCAATTGCCCCTTTTCCAGTTGGCTTAAGGGGAGAGAGATAAGGTGCGCTACAGTTGGTATTGGAGCAAATGGCACGGGTTCGATTCCCATTGATTAGTGGCTACTTAAAAATATAATATACCCTTGAGCAAGGTATATTCCTACCCCTAAATTTGAAATCGTACGTATTGGGCATCCATGCATATGTCCTTCCTCTTGTGTGGAGTATCCACGGACGAAGGTATCCACCGTGGGACTGCGGTACGGGTGGATGACTAGTTGCCTCACATGGAATAGCTGGTCTACACAATGGAAGGATTGGTAGATTGAGTGTGGAAATGGAGGTGCATATGTCCTTCCTCTTGTGTGGAGTATCCACGGACGAAGGTATCCACCGTGGGACTGCGGTACGGGTGGATGACTAGTTGGCTCACATGGAATAGCTGGTCTACACAATGGAAGGATTGGTAGATTGAGTGTGGAAATGGAGGTGCTAGTTTCCCTTGGCTCAGTAGGGGTTGTTAGTCAATAGTCAATGAGGGCTCAGTAGGGGTTGTTAGTCAATAGTCAATGAGGACATTGACATCTCTGAAGGGGGGGTGAGTGTAGCGCATGCGATCATGGGATGAGATTTGGATATACATGGGATGAGATTTGGATATACTGTCACCGTGGATCCTTGGAACCTTGGGGGATAAATGGGGATAAAATAGCCACTAAGGGCTCTCTCATCAAGCAATTGCCCCTTTTCCAGTTGGCTTAAGGGGAGAGAGATAAGGTGCACTACAGAGGCCGCCTTGCTCGTTGGCAAGAGTTCCTGCAGGAAATGTCTGTTAAGATCCGGTACAAGCATGGAGGTGACAATAAGGTGGCTGATGCGTTATCCAGGATGGTAAATTCTATCTCATTCGTGAAGTTATCCAGTGATCTCTTGGATGAGCTTAAGGAGTTTGTTGACTTCGACTCCTTTATCACTGATATTCGCGCGAAGGTTTTGTTGAGGGACGCCTCTACAGATTTAAAGGGTGACAAGTTTGCGTCATTCGAAATACAAGATGGAATCCTGGTGAAGAAGGGACGTGTAGTGGTTCCTCGTGTTGACAAACTCATCAAACGGATTTTGGTTGAGTGTCATGATGTGCCAAGTGCTGGGCATCCGGGGGTATTGAGAACGTATATGTTGGTGAAGAGGCATTTCTTTTGGCCTGGGATGAAGTCAAATGTTGAGAAGTACGTATGTGGTTGCTTGACCTGCCAGGCGGTCAAAGTTGATCATCAGAAGCTCGCTGGCCTCTATCATCCTTTACGTGTACCCGAGAATAAGTGGGATAGCATCTCGATGGACTTTATCACTGGTTTGCCCAAAACCTTTCGAGGAAATGATGCTATTTGGGTTGTTGTGGATCGTTTGACGAAGATGGCTCACTTCTTCCCTGTGAAGACAACGATAAAAGCTTCTGAACTTGCTCAGTTGTTTGTAGACCGGTTATTCAGTCTCTATGGTTTGCCGGGTGACATTGTGAGTGATCGGGATCCTAAGTTCACGTCCAAGTTTTGGCAAACGGTCTTTGAAAAACTAGAGACTAAACTGAGCATGAGTAGTGGTGAGCATCCACAATCTGATGGGTAGACAGAGCGCATGAATCAGCTATTAGAAGATATGCTACGGTCTTTTGTGGGAAACTTGACTCGACAAGGAGTATGGGAAAAATACTTGCCTTTGCTTCAATTTGCTCACAATAGCGCTCATCAATCGGCTATTGGCATGTCTCCTTTTATGGTGATGTATGGCTATGAGCCTAGGTCTCCTGTGAGTTTGAATTTGGCTTTGGTTCGGGTTCTTCATGCTTGTGATTTCCTGGAGGATATGCAAGACAAGCTTGAGTTGGCAAAATTGAACATGAGGCAAGCTCAAGAACGAGACAAAAAATTGGCTGATGAGCATCGTCGTCATCAAGAGTACAAAGTTGGTGACAAAGTTTTCCTTAAGCTGTCGGATGCACAACAATCTCTAAAAGGAAGTGGTAGTGCTAAGTTGTCCCCACGGTATTGTGGGCCTTGGACAATTTTACAGCGTGTGGGGGATCTTGCATACACTTTGGATTTGCCAGTTAGTTCGAAGATTCATCCAACGTTCCATGTGAGCAAGCTTAAAGTGTATTTGCACTCTGGTGATATTGTGGATCAGTCCATCATCCAGGTTCCAGAGATTGATGCAGAGAAGGCTGGTCCGGCCAATATTCTTGCTCAAAGATTGGTGAAAACACGCCGGAAAACAACTAGGGAGTTGTTAGTTCAGTGGAATGGTTATTCCATGGACGAAGCTACATGGGAAATTGAGGATGACATGAAGAGAGTGTTTCTGAGTTTTGGTTATGACTTGGATGACATTCCTGAGGAAGGGGAGAATTGAGTTCTATAGCCGTATTGCTATATGATTTGAGCCGTTTTTTTCCATGACCGTATTGTCATGTGAGAAAGCCGTATTGCTTTCTTTCTTTCATGGCTGTTTGTCGCGACGTTGGTGTTGCCGTTTGCACATCTTTTCTCCATGGCCGTATTGCATTGGACTCCCTTCATTTAGGCTCGTTTAGCTTCTCAAGGCTACCATATGTGGCTGGGTCATGAGGGAGGGGAAAATGACACGAACCACAGGAATATTCCAAGAATATTCTATGGCATGTGGGATTTAAGGCCATAACGCCTTAAGGGTTGGGAGGTTGGCCTAGGGTTCGCTCTCTTGTTCGTTTCAAAACCATTCTGTTGTGTGACCTGATCAAGCTCCTCTATCCACCCGACAGCACAAATCTCCAAGAAATTCACTGGTATGAGCTAAAACCATTGCAAAACTCACAAAACCCTCCGCGTTACAAGAATATTCGAAAGGGAAGGGCACTTTAAGAATCATGGCACTTCTTTGGATGTGGCGGATGTGCTCTCCAAAGTCCGACGTAGTGGAGTTTCTCCGGGTGATCTGTCATTGGATTTTGTAAGAAAGATCCATCGCTGGAGTGTTAACACTCTGTATTCAACTGTATATGGATAGTACATATACATGGAACCACATGCCACATCATCTCTACCTTTAACACTCCCATCCAAGTCTGAATCTAAGCCTGAATCCTGTCTAGTTAGTCTGAGATGATGAGCATGGAGAGTTGATAAGAAAATATATGAAAAACTCATCAACTACCCAAAACTTGGTTCTTGGTCTCAGTGTTTTATTTCGGCCGTCAAAAAGCCATTTGAAATGGTTTTTTGGCAGAGAAAATGTTAAGCTATAATACAAATTAGTGCCATTTGAAAAATCAATTGCTGTTAGTGGCCGAGCTAACAATTTCTTTAAGTAGCCTAAAATCAACAATATCAATGTTAGTAATAACCCTGACAACTTGAATATGCATCGAATCACCATTGAATCTTTTCTCCGGCAGGGTTAAAGGTTCAAAAGTTATGCTTAATTAAACGGTCATAATTATTCAAAATGCCAAAAAGTAGCTTTGAATAAAACCCTGCTTGGTCTTGAACTTGCTTGCACACTCTTTACTCCTTGCTATGGCTTCAATCTTGCCACTAGCATGTGGTCTTGGCTATGAACTGCCACGCTCTCACTTCTACTGCTACCAGGCACTTGAATCTCCATAAGCATCCTTCCCAATTGCTGGAAATTCCTGCAAAGAATTGTTATGCAATGTTCTTGAATCTTGTTTGATCCAATTTTTGATGTGGGTTGCTGAAATCTCTCAAGCTCCCACTGGCTTTATGCTCCGCTTGCTATTGCTTGCTGCTCAGCGCCTCTGCACGGCCTGGTGCCTTGATGCAATGCCTCAAGCATCTAGCGCATCTAACAAAAGCTTCAAGCATTGCAAAAAGAGTGATTGCAATCAGGAGGCTCATCTTCCTCCTCGTCACTGGCCTCCTAGCCAGCAAGTGCCATGCCGGAGCCAATTGCTCCAATACCATGTTAGCAGCGGAGAGACACACACAAGGAGGAAGAACTTTCTCTCTCTGTATTCAATTGTATATAGATGATACATATACATGGAACTACTGCCACGTGGGCATAACTACATGCCACATCATCTCTACCTCTAACATGGAGAAGCTGCTAAGCTGAGATTGATCTGTGGTCTAATTTTCACTGATTCAGCAACGTCTCCTTGTCGTGAGAAAAATCTGATTGTTCTAGAACTCAAGAGAAGTGCGTCATCCAAGACAGTGTATCCTGGGGAAAAGGTAAAGCTAAAGTTTCTCTCCAGGTTTGCGTGGAGGAGTTCAGCCCGATTCTTGCGTAGCTTTCTTTTTCTCTGTTTGCTTTCGCAATACTTCTTCCACTTGTTATAGATTATGAAAGACACAGCACATCGAGCGAACAAAAATAAGGAGAAAATATTTCCCGTATCTCACAAGTGTGAGGTCCCCTTGTATGTACCAAAAACTCTACGACATGTTTTTTCTTGTGGAAGTTTCCATCTAAAACAATCAAAGGATTGGTTTGCAAGAACTTGTGAGTATGTATGCATTCGTAAATGGCGGATTTGGAACTGGTCAGGTCAAAATAGTTTTACCTTATTTTTTTTCGTAAAGAAAAGATTTAGAAACGTAACCGGTAGCTTGAAGAGTTTTTAATCTCTGACTTTGAGACTTGCCACAGTATATAAACCCCACACTCTTAGACTTATCATCGTTCGCCCCTCTTCCTGAATCGAAGTTTCTGAAGAACAATCTTCTTTTGAGATCTCGAGCGATGGAGTCCAAGAAGTTGATGCTGGTGGTAATGATCCTGGGCGCACGTGCTTTTCTTAACTCTTTGCCTCTGGAGATCCCAATCGAGGTTTTCCTTGGTTTTCTTTGCAGGTCTCAAGGGATAACTTATGTACACTTTAACATGGTTCCCTGTGGAGTCAATCTCCCACACACGCACCCTCGAGCTTCCGAGCTCCTCACCATGATCTCTGGCGGGCCACTTCAAGTTGGATTCGTGGATACAGCTGGTAGGAAAATAAGATTCTCTCTCTCGATCTTATAAAGAACATATGGGGTGATTTTCCAGGAGTACCACGCATCAACCTCTTGAACCCGGGCGATATCACGATATTCCCACGGGGGAACGATGCACTTTGAGATCAACGTCGGGACCAAGCCTGCGTTTTACATCTCGGCTCTCAACAGCCAAAACCCAGGAACTCTGGTAAACAAAAAACTTATCTCGGCTTTTCTCTTAACGTTTTTCTGATGTGTGTGTAGACAAGTGGTGGTGCTCTCTTGATGATCCCGGACAGGTCCGCTGCAAATGCGCTCAACGTAGGGCTGGACGTGATCCGGAAGCTCAAGGCCAATATGCTGCCATATACGCCCCGGCTCGAGTTGGCCCCACCCGCCGTGTGCGTTCCCGGCCGAGACATCACCACCAAGATTTAAGGTCCTTTGTTTACATTGACCACTGTAACTAAAGTGATCCATCCTTGACTTGTTTGGCTTTTTGATGGGAACACTTATATTTAAAGGCTGACTTTGTTTCGAAGCAAGAGAATGGTCGCGTCCAAGTCTCGTACCTACTGATTTCATTGCAGCGAATTGCTTGGGTAGTGGTTGATCAAGTGGTTTCTATTGCAAAAACCACTAGGTAGAGGATGAGAGTAGTGAGCGACTTGATCGCTGTGTCACCGAAGCTTGACTTAATGGAGCAAATGTAATGGCTAGTGGTCCGTTGGGATTCCTGCAATGCCCCAACTGACTTTTTCAAATGGTTAAAAACCTTTTCTACGAGAAAAGTCGAGATATGTTACTCGAAGGCTGTAAGGAATTTGAATTAGATTTTTTTCCAAAAACACACGTTCTCTTGAATGCATGCATGCAAGCTCGATGCCCTCTTCCCTCATTTCGTTCTTACTTTTCCTTTTTACATCTCTCTCTCTCTCTCTCTCTCTCTCTCTCTTCCTATTGTTTCTCAAGCACAACGAGACATTGATCGCATTTGGATACTTTTTTTCTTTACCGTTGGATTTCAAGAAGCTTTGTTGGCAGTGGTGATCTTGGGTGCTTGAATGTGTTAGTCGCGGCCAATCCCGATCCACTGCGAGATTTCGCGGGGTAGGGAGCTCTTTGCGATTTCGTGCTACGAGATGTTAAGAGGGATGTTCGCAATAGACCCGGTGGTGTTCGTGGCTGCAATCAACACGACAATCTTAGGAATCACGTATTCTTTTCTCAGTTCTCAAAACTCATGGCTTGTTCTTTCGTTTGTTTCTACGAAGGTCTCAAGGATTAACTTATGTCCAGTTTCATGTGGTTCCTTGTGGAGTCAATGTCCCACACACGCATCCTCGAGGTTCGGAGCACTCGACCATGGTCTCCGGTGGTCGTTGGCTTCGAGCTTCAAGTTGGCTTCGTTGATACACGCGGTAGGAAATAAGACCGATCTCTCGATCTTGATCTCGTAAAGATCTTTGAATACGATGTGATTTTCCAGAAGTATCACGCATTAACCTTTTGTACCCAGGCGATCTCATGGTTTTCCTGTGACGAACGATGCACTTTCAGCTCAACGTTGGGACCAAGCCTGCGATTTACATCTCGGCTCTGAACAGCCAAAACCCAGGAACTCTGGTAAACAAAACAACATCGCCAGCTTCCTTCTTACTTTTTTTCTGAAGTTATTTACGTTATTCTTTTTTCATAATAGTTTTTGTGTGTCTGTTTCTACAGACAAGTGGTGGTGCTCTGTTGATGATTCCCAACAGGTCCACTGCGACAGCGCTTAACGTAGAACTGGACATGATAAGGGAGCTCAAGGCCAATATGCTGCCATACACACCCCAGCTCGAGTTGGCCCCGCCCAGTGTGTGCGTTCGACATCGCCACCAAGATTTAATGTTCCAGGCTTTTCTTCTTTGTTTACATTAAAAAAATACCATGCCAATTCGCACAAAGGGGAGCATGGTGGTGTTTCTGTTGCGATCAATCTCTTTCTTTCACTTCATTGTCAATGAAGGTGAGAACAGTCAAACTTAATCTTAGTTTATGTTTTAGCTTAAATTGGTATCATGTCTTCAAGTGGACAACCAAGGACAAGTTTGTGAAGCCATGCAACTATTAGGAACGAAGATTTCAGGCCAGCTAACACTGCTTGTAAAAGAAGTACTTTTTGCCACTATAGTTAACGCTTTGAGCGCCAAATAAAAAAACCTAGTACCTGATTGATCCACGACGAACATCTTGCCTCACGCGTTGTAACGTATTTGTTCCAGTGCTGCCAAAGGAGCCAAAAGCTTATTAGTCTCCCACACCATGAGGAAACAAAGACCTCACCAAAGACGTCGAGAGAAAATAGAACCGATATCCCCCTGTGTGGATCGCAAAGTTTCAAGGGCGCTGATTTCAATTCAGAGCCCAGCAACAGGGAACGCAGCCGCGACCTGAATTGGAACCAGCACCACCGAAACCTGCAATCCTTGGCTGCTGCAAAAACAAGCACAGGGACGGATTTTTATACACGGAGAGGCCACTGCAAATCGGCAAAAGAAAAAGAGATGTCTCCATACCACTGGCAGATGACAACATGCTCGCCTCCCGCTGCTAAACTCGCGTCCGGCAACTCGCTCGAAAGCTTTGGTGGGAGTGTCGCCATGTCATTCCAGAATGTCGACACACTGTACGTGCAGGGCGAGATGGTCCCCCTTTAAAAGTCGGATATCTGTATAGTGTAAACATCACATTAGCAAAGAAACAAGAGAATCACTAGGTAGAAAAACAGAGAGGGGACAGGCACAGATTACCAGAAAGCTTTTCGAGGCTGGAGTTCCGAATATGTGTACCGCCTCTGAGAGCCAAATGAAAGAGAATGTCAGTGCCCATAATAAAAACTAGGAGAGGCATTTTTCACCGTCCCAATGCTGCCTCGTGAAACAAGCCCCGGAACAGCTCAACTGTCTCGCATAGATCCAGGATGATCCTACAACGTAATGCTAGTGCCCCTTTTTGTCGATGCAAGCAAACATCTTTTTTATATCCCGTTGTCTGCCAAAGAGAAGCTGTAATCAAGAGAAAATCTCCTCTTAGAAAAGAAACGGACGCTTACCTAATAAGTCTCGTCACGGTGAGCGGAGCTTTTGACCTCGTTTGTGCTGCTCGTAAAAGGTCGCAGCACCCAAAGCTTCCGCTCGCTGGCTGGTTCGCTGGCTTGGAAGTTAATTTTCTGGCTTTTAACACCCCCACCTGAGATAACGTAAGTCTCCGTACCGCATCCTTTTGTTATCTTTTCCAACTTTAAAAATTCTTTTTCTTGATGAACCAGTCATACCTGTGAAAGCAAAGTGCTAGACAAAAGTGTGCACTGGATGTGTACCTCTAGAGTCCCAATCATCGGGCCCCCTTGACCGGTTCTTCCCTTTCCAATGGCGGGTAGCTGCAAATATGAAAGTTAATAAGACCAAGCCAATCATCCAACCGAGACAAACCAAACGCGAAGAAAAAAACTGGAGTAGCGTTTACCCGTCCATTTCCTAGCATAAGGAAAAGACCGAGTCATCAATTCCCCATACTAAAAAAAATGTAAGGAGCGGTAGCGGCCTTCCTAGAAAGAAAAAGAGAGCTCTGGAGTCAACTCCTAGGCACAGAAAAAAGTGTGAAATGGAGAGAATGAAAGAACAGCACCATGAATGGACAAACAGCGTTCTTGTTGCCTTTTCGCGGCCACAAAACATCCCTGTAGCGATCGAATCAGCAGATGTGTAATCAGAAGAAAGAATTCAAAGGTATGAAGCCTCTCACCTTTTTGATCTCGCTGATCACGACCAGTTGAGTGCTGAGTTCTTAAAATCGTCTTAGACTTTTCCCGCCCCATCTCTTGCCATCTAAGACCATAGAGTTCTTCATGAGATGAATCCTTGCACAGCTTTGCTTCAGGATCTTCACACGGTATTTCGCAGTCCCGGCTCCGCTGCTAGTTTGTTCTGAGAAAGGTTTCCCGGAATGAGTCTCGAGGATTCGGAGCCTTTGAAGCAACTGGCAGAGGACTTCTCGAACCTCCTAGATAATGGCCAGGCCTTCAGTGACGTTGCATTTGCAATCGACGGGAGGCACGTCTATGCTCACAAGTGTGTCCTGGCTGCTCGGAGTCGATTCTTCCGGATGGTGCTGACTAGCAATGGACCAACGCAAGCCCCCCTGGTTATGCCGGTCTCGGCAGTCGGCCACGACGCCTTCATGCTCACGTTGCGATTTCTCTACAGTGGTCAGCTATGTTTGCTACCTTCGAATTCTCAGCCTGACAGAGGGTGCAAGGAAAGCTCTTGTTGGCATTCACAATGTAGAGCCGCGGTCGACTTCGCGCTGGAAGCCCTTCATGCCGCTCAAATGTTTGGCATTGACGAGCTCTCCGTCTTGGTACAGGTCTGTAAGAAAGAGAGAGAGAGAGAAGCCAATGATTTAAGTAATCCAACTTCTTTACCTTTACAACAGAAGGAGCTGGCTGCGATGGCTGAGAAGGCATCGATCGAGGACGCCATGAGAATCCTTGTCACAGCTCGCAAGCAGGACCTGCTCCAACTGTGGTCAGTGTGTTCCAAGCTTATAGCCAAGTCTGGCCTGTCAACGGAAGCGCTAGAGAAACATGTACCGGTGGAGATAGCTGCCGAGATAGAAGCCATCCGACATAAATGTGGCTACTACAATGCCTCCAGAGCCGATTGCAGCGACTCGCTGGACGAGCAACGGACACGGAGGATGCAAAAGGCACTGGATTCGTCGGATGTTGAGCTGGTGAAGCTTCTGGTCATGGAGGAAGGCCTCAGCCTCGACAAAACGTTCGCTCTTCACTATGCTGTCGCGCACTGCAGCCGAAAAGTTGTGAGCATCCTGCTACAGCTCGGAGCCGCCGATGTCAACGCTGTCGATGTCGAAGGAAGGACACCTCTACACATTGCTGGAGAACTCGCTGATCCAGAGATGATAGCGGTTTTGCTCGACCACCATGCGAGCCCACACGTACGTTCTCCAGCAGGAACCACCGCTCTGGACATGGTGCAAAGTCATGTGTTCCAAGCACTGACTTTAGCGTCGGAAGGTGGAGCACCAGCGGACCACAGTAAGCTCAAGCTGTGTCTGGAGCTGCTGCAGACTGCTGAGCCAGTTTCCTCACAAGAGCGTATCGTTCAGGATGAAGGTAACTGCTTGCTAATGGCTCCAGAGCGAAACAACGATTTCTACCCGGCTCCTAAAGGTACACAGTGAGTGAGTAAGCTTTGAGTTAGCGGATGAAATGAAGAGGCTTACCGATATAGTTTGTCAAAGCAGGCAATTCACCGACATGGAGCAGTGACAATGACGAGGTGATCGACCCGATAATACGGCTGGTGGTATCTCACCCACACTATTCTGCTCCTGTCCCGTTCATGAACCCGCACCAACAAGTGTCTCAGCATGACTCCGTATGGTAGCTCCAGAGACCATATACTCACTCCCTCCTGTAAATACAACAGAAATTGATTCTTGCACAGTAGTTGCCAAAGATAGAAGTCCTGTCAAAGAGAAGAAGTTCCGTCACGATAACACGATCGAATTGAAAAAAAAAGAAGCTAGATAGCTACCTCGTCAGAAGACAAACAGTTTCCTTCTTGTTGGCCAATCTTTCGAGAATAAAGCAAGAGATCTGCACTCCAGAAGTCGTAAAAAATTGAAAAGAAACTAAAACGTGAAGCATAAAACTCGCACTTACCCGAGAAGACGACAGCACGCTGACTGACCCACATTCTTCTGAAGAGCCGTCCGAGAGGTAGCTAGCTCTACCCAGCTTTGTTTGCTAGCAGGCTTCCTGTTCTTGATGACTACTTCGAAGCTATCTGGATACGGAACGGCAGAAATGTCCAGACAACGCTAAGAAACAGTTGTAAATTGCCGCGGACAACGAACCTTCTCCGCAGCCTTCCTGTTCTTGTCCTGGAGCTTGAATGGTCTCTCATTTAAGCTGCTAGGCTTTTCCAACATCGCACTCTGAATCTTCGGCCATGGATCTTCTCAGTAGCTCTTCATCAGCTCTGCTCCTTGTGAATTCTAGGACGCTGAGGAAAAACCTGTGCCGTTCTAGGCCCGTTCTCCATCGCACTAGGCGTGCCAGAGTCCAGATGTCTCTAGACTTTAGTTCGTCTTCGTTTTCTTCTTCCGATAGTCGCTTCAGTGCAGATGGTTTGAAAAGGGAGATGCGGCTGCTGAGTGAACGAATCCGTGAGGTAAAGGTGTCGGAAAGTCGCGGTGAGTACTCAGCCGTAGACGGGTTCAGTAGCACAAACTTTGCTAGTGACATGCTGCTGCTGAGAGAAAGGATTCGCCAGGTCCAGCTGCGAGAAGATGGTGCTAATTCTGACGAAGCTTCAAAGTCGGAGTGGATGCCTTGGGAGAAGAACTGCTATCCTGCTATCCAACTAGAGATATCGCTACTTCTGGGACTCCTACACGAACAGCTGCTGAATATGAGGCCGAGCAAAGTTCTTATAATCTTGTCCCTGCTCTCAACTGTCACAGCTGCATCATCCGTAGTCCTATTCATGTCTCTTACAGTCCTCCTTCGGTCCCTCTAAACTACGTCACCGTGGCCTTTTGATTGCATACGTTGTTGGAGTCCAGTTCATCTTCGCTGGATCAATGCTCCAGGTTGGTTGTGGTCCGACATTCTGCATTCAGCGAAATTGCGGGTTACATACCAGAGGAAAGAAATACAGCACCTTCAAATGCTCGTCAACCACGCGTGCTGTAACTGAAAGAATGTGCTGGCCTTTCCAGTACCTGGAAAGAATGAGAAAAAAAAGTATAAAAAAGGAACTCCACGTACTTGATAAGATTCAGAGATTGAAGAGTTTGAACAATGTCGTCAGTGCGAATGGCTGTCATGGTACTTAAATCCTATATGAATTATAAGAACGTGATTTAGAAAAAGAAGACCAAGTAACCTTTATAGACAAATTTCCCCGATGATCCTTGAGAATGCTCAGTAGAATTCGTGTCCAGTAGCTTCTAAAGCTCACCTGCATCAAGTAAATATAAGGTGCAATAAAAACGAAGCTTGAACATTTAACCTTCCCAAGGTCAGATAGCGGGCGCTCTGGTGTTCCCGATTTACCCTCGCGCTTTGTAAGTTCATACGCTATGCCAGATCCATACATAAGTAGAAAAACAAACTTAAACGTCAGGGCGTACCAAAAGTAATCAGCAAGCGTCCGTATCCGCGTCGCTGAAAAGGAGGTAGCGTTAAAATGCAGGCCAAATTGTACTCCTCCAGTGAAAGCTTTTCCTGCAGAAGAAACACGAGAGATTAGAAAACGAAAAGCTGCTTTCAACAAGTTGCCTTTGAAAAATATCCCATTAAATGGAACCCGTCTTCATCAATCTCGGTGAGAATATAGAACAAGAAAGCCTCGACGTCATAAAATAGAGTCTTATGATCCAGAAAGAGCTTCGCAAACAGGCACAAGTTCTGTAAGGGAAAAATAAATAAATATCAAGACAAAATCTACACGGAACCAGGACAATTACCTGGCAATAGAGCTTTTGTAGTAACCCATCCACTTCAAAGAGAGCCAAAGTAGCTTTGCCGCTTCCATCGTCGGACTGGGCACTCATTCGATATATTTCCTTGCCTGGAGGCCGCTTCAGGTGGCACGTTATCTAAAACACATGAATAGTTATATGCAGTTCCGCACAGACAGCTTAAAGTACCTTATGTTGCTCAATAGTTCTTCTCTTCTTGACATACTTGAGACAAAACTCGCAAATGTAAAGCTTGTGCTCGTGCGCGTACTCATCTGGATAGGGCGAATAGTACCTGCGTAAGCCAAACAATAGTGTTTTAATCCTTGTGATATTGATGGGAAATGCACTTACCAGGTGTCCATCTCATATTTTCCCAGTTCCACAACCTGAAGAACAAGCACCTAGAATCATCGTAAACCTCTCGGGCCATGCTAAGAACCTGTATGTTCTTGATCCTCGTCTTCTCCTCGTGCTCCTTTTCTAGAGTTTGATCGATGGGTGCAAGCTCGTCCACTCCCTACAGAACAGCATTTCTTGAGCGACAAAGAAGTATAGAAAGGCTATAAAACCTTTTGGACGTTGTGAATCTCGTCATATCTCCGCTTAAAATTCCTGGTGAGCTTCCTGTCTGACGTGCCTGGAGTGTCGTGCTTGCTATCACAGGATCCCTGTCCACCTGAATTCGGTGTGCCAGGAATTGTGAGTGGAGCAAGCTTCTCAGCCATCATAGACTTCAACGTTGGAGCAACTTCCGTGTCCAATCTCTCTATCCGCCCTGGAGAAACCCACTCGTCCATGCGCTTGTTCACTACATCCACAACTCATCATCCCAGACCTGAAAAGAAACCCACTCACGATCAATGTAGTGAACGTAGTACTCAATTCCATCCTTGGAGGCCCTGCGATCGATGATCTCGGCCGAATCTAGAGAGAAGGAGACGATCAAAACCGCTGGAGATATCCCAAAACCGGATACTTACGCCGCGCATTGTCCCACGACGAAACGCAGATAATCTTCGATCCAGCCACATATTTCGGATCGGCAGCGCCGATCGCCCTCTCCTAGAAAACAGGATCGATCATCAAGCCGAGAGAAGATCGTGGACGCGCGAGCGCGCGAGAGAAGAGCTTACCATTGCCAAGCCCCAAAACCCTAGCTTATGCCACGTGTCTAATGGGAGATTTTAGATTAGTTATCTGGAAGGACCCGGCCTAGCAGCTCGTTTGGAGTGCTAACTCCCGACTCTTCCATGTCTGTGAGAATGGCGATGGCGGCATCGTTCTCTTGGACGGACAAGCACGACATAACCGCGTCCTCGTAGAGCTTGCTGCGAGAGAGAGAGCAAAAACTTTGAGAAGAACAAAAACTTTAGAAGCTAAGCACTTGCCTTCCAAATTTGTGTCCACATTTGTGAGACTTTCTGATCAGCGTGACGACTGATTCCGGCCATGGGAGTTTCATCGCGTTCCGGACAAGCATGGCGCAGTCGCTTAACGTAGGACTTCCTCCCAGCTCGAGAACCTGAGGAGACAAAGTATTTAGCACCTCCAAAGCTCGAAAAATCGTAAGGACGAAACTTGCCTTGTCCAGCAGCTGAATGCTCAGCTCAACTTCGCGCTTGCGCGTCCATATCTCCGGAGGTTGAGCTTGTAGATCTCTCTCCCAGGTCCATCCCCATATCTCCTCAATCTCGTCCATTTCTCTAAAGTCGAACTTCATTGCAGCAAGCTCCGCACGCTTCTCTTCCAGCGTCAATGGCTTGTAGGCTCCCTCGATGTTGTCCGACGCTGGTTCATTGCCAACTACAGCAGGGCTCACCTCCTACAAAAGCGAAAATGTGATCCTCACAAATGTAGAAGGAATCTTGGAGCACTTACCACGACTTCCTCCTCTTCTTCGTCTTCGTCGTCTGTTGCTTTCGATGCTTCTGTTGTTTCATCAACCTCACCACCGTCAACGGGTTGAATAATCTCTTCTTCGTCTTCCCTGACTACATGTCCTTCTACCTCTCGTGACTCTGCTTCAGCGTCCTCCTCCATCTCGCTGTCCGACTCCTCGATCACCATTCGTGGATTTTCTTTGTACAAGTTTTCAAGTCCCACTCCTTCAATAAAGCATTTTCGTCGATATTGTTGTCTCGGGTTTCTCAGATCTATTTTAGCCAAGACTGTTTCAAACTCTTCATCTACCTGCAATACAACGATGGAAGCCTTAGAAAAAGAATTTTAAAAAATTGCTTGAGAAGACAGACCTCTTCGATAGTTTCTTCTTCCGGTGGCATCCACAAAGGCGCTCCTTTGGCCAGATTTATCCTGCGCGCCTTTTGAACCCTTTGATACAGGAGCCTTCTGTTCCCGTCCGTTGGAAGTCCCTGAGCTTCAAGTTCTTCCTTCATTTCAGCAACAGAAAGCTTACTTGCTGCCTTGGGCTTGCGAACGTCACTAAGTCTCTTCCGGACGTTCTCTTTTTTCAGCCTCTCTAGTATTGCAGTGTACTCTTCTTCCCTGGCATTTTCCCCCAAGGCATAGACGCCTTCAAATTGCAACAAATGGATCAGCTTTCGCTTATATTCTTGTCGCTTTATGCTGCAGTACTGTTTGTAAGACTTCTCCACTGGAGGTGAAAATCTGTAGCCATCATAATCGGGTAGAATCCTGTTTGGATCCTTACGAGCAGCGGGCGTCCATCTTCTCCGTGTGCCAGTTAGACCACCTTCTGCTATGTAACTGCAAATTACAAGCTTCGTATCAAGAGCATGAAATAAACTGTAAGAAAGAAAACTGACCGTGCAACAAAATCAATTTCGCATCCTATGTCTGCTTCCTCCTGCATGGGCTCAATCCACGAGCTTACCAACGTGCGTCCCTTTCGATTCATAAACATAGCTCTTGGAGTTAATTTCAGGCCTTCTTGTAGCATCAAATCCAAAACTTCGACAAGCTGTACAATTCTACCTGCTTAAGCAATAGCAATGAACACAGAATCCATTTTTTTTCCAAGTTACCTTCCAAGCAAAGCGAGCGTATCAGCAGCGAGAGAGGATCACCGTGCTTCCCATCACAATGGAGAACGTGTAGAGAACCTGGGAATAATTTTGTGAGAGCCCGAAAATGACGCATTGCCTCGTCCATGAAGTTAAATTTCACGTAGCATTCAACGATCAGTCTGCATATCGAACGTAGGAAACAGGAAATGTTTATAATGATTAGACTCACTTACGCATATGTTCGAGCATTTGGCTTCACTTGAGGATACAGCTCCGTCATGTGTCCTATCAGCACTATGACTTCATGAACCCTGTGAATGGAAGGACGTTAGCATCTCTATACGCGTGACCAAACACACCTTTCTCCGTTGTCACAACGTGTTTGAGCTTGTATCATAAGGTTAAATGACTCGGTATCGGGTTTCGTGTCCGCTGCAAGCACAAGGCACTTTGTGAGTCATTGAGCACGTAAAACGTATGGACTCACGTCTTAGGTACTGCATCTCTTCAAAAGTGTCTTCTGCAATGTCTGGAAAATTGGCATTTCCCTGTCAAAAGTGTAAATAGAAACCAAGATTTTAAAAACTTTTACCTGAGCAAGAAGCAAACAATTGTAATGGAAGGTAGTGGCCAGCCTTCCTCTTGATTCCATCGACCTCAAAATATTTATGGCAACACCATGCTTGCCGGTTTTGCAGTTTTCCTCGACCAATATGTCGTACAAATGCTCACTGGCTCTGAAACCACCATTTGCACCTTTCATAAAAAGGTCATTTGCTTCGTTCAAGTATCCAGCATTGAAAAGCTCCTCTGCGCAGAATCCAGAACCATTCAACAACGGAAAAGATAAAGAAGAATAAAAAACGTACCACAAGTCACCACCCAAGCAGTACGAGTATCCAGGTTTGCACCTTCAATAGCTCCGAGAATTTTCTCCGCTCGATCACGAAGGCCAGCACGTCCAAGCAGCCTCGCGACGGCAACGAAAGTCTCTTGCAAAGGCGTCTCTCCCGACGCGATTTCCTTCCTCAAAGCCTGAAGCTGCACTGAAAGAAAAGAGAAAAGATAAGTAGCCATCTCGTAATCTCTAGCGGAGAGGAAGAAAAAGGAGAGAAACTTACCGCTCCTTCAACGTCATTCGCTTGAGCGTAAGCAGCAACGAGGCCATGGAAGGATCGAGGCCCCGGTTTCAATCCAACAACGTCCATCTCGGACATGACCTCCTCCACACCATCAATGTTGCCACTCCTCGCGTTCTCCATGAGCGACTCGAGGAAGTAGAAACGGAGCTCTTTCTCCTCGGCATTCATCACCTTCCTGTACAAGCTCCTGGTCGCAGCAAACTCGTTGTCTCGCTGGATGGTAGAAGTTCCACCACCCCCTAGCGACTCAGCCTGTTCTTCCGAAGAATCGGTGGTTTTCTTCTTCCTCGCAGAAGCCTTCTTTGGAGCCTGGGTTCCCCCTTCCACATTGGATTTCTTCGTCGAGCGCGAGCGTTTAGCTGCTGGATCTTAAATCCAAGAACTATGACTAGTAAGATCGTTGCGCAGTCGAATCGAAACTACTTACCAGCGGGTAGTGGCTCATCACTGGATGCCCCTGCCGCCGACGCTTTCACAAGAACAAGCCGCGAGGCGCCTATTTCGCAAGGAACGCATCCCATCAATACGATCAATCCAGCGGCATTGCCAGGCGCCAGGCGCCGCTCGCCACACCCGAGAACCGCGCGGCATTTCTCCCGGCGGAACCTAAACGCGCAGCAGCACGAGCTCGCTAGCGCGGCCATAGCCAGGGTTTTGGGGACAGCACCCGCGTAGGATCCACGTCAGCAGCCCCGTCAGCTCCACGTTTAAATTCAAACGTTGGCGCTAAAGCGTCGCTAGGCTAGGAGCTCTTCGTGTTAGCGCTTGAGACCAAGTCACATATCTTCTTGTGGATCTTCCAGTTTGCGACTTGGCAGCTCCGACCACAATACCTGGAAGAGCAAAAACGTTTTACAAATTTCTCTTGGAATCGATCGAATTTTGCAAGCTCACCAATCATTTTTACAGCGTGAGCATCGTTTCTCCGCTGGAGCGCCGCAAGCTGCGCACTTGGGCGTATCCATGGACTCGCCAAACTGGAACATCCGCATTAGTTCGTCCAGCTCTGCCGGGGAATCGCCACTCAATCGTGGGTCGGATCGTATCATCTCTATCTGATCTTCAGCAAGTTGTCCTGAGAAAACAAGAGGACACGAGCATTTGCCAACTTCTTTTTTCGAAAACTAAGCTTACTCCAGTCTCGTCTGGCAAGCAGCGCTGTTCTCATTTCCGGTATCTGAAGTAATGTCGTCAATGTCAACGCCTTTGTAACATCGAGATCTCTGGTATTCGTACCTCCTCCATGATCAAGTGTGCAGTTCTTCGGTCCTCCTCCGTCGCAAACACTTTGAGAGAAATTTCTTCTAAAGCCTGTATAAACACAAATGCTGAATCGGTGATTTCAGCTACAGTGTTACCCATTGTAAATCCTTCAAAACCGGCAGCTGCTCCAGCACCATTTCATTCAGATACTTTCGCAGCTGGAGTGGATCCCAGTGTCAGGCAGGACAGAAGACAAGGAAGAGAACCTTCTACCTTCAAGACTTGAGCCTGGCGGAAATCATCGTAGGTGTATCTAGCACGGCACTGAATGTCTGCAACAAGATTATTCAATGCCAGCCAGACCTGCAGAGATCGACACTCAATCGCCTTGACAATTCGAGAGGAATTAAGAATTACTTGTGCTTCAGACTTGAAAATCCTGAACCGATCTTGTGGAGGAACCTCAACCCATTTTCCTTCCTCATACTTTTCTGTCTAGTATTCCAAATTCAAAAGAAGAAAAATGTTCTGAGCTGATACTTTGTAAAACGTACCACGACTTTGGCTTTAAGATTTCTTCGTCTTTCCCATGGGGGGGACTCCACAAGGTTGACAAGCCCCATAATCACATCATGCGTGTCAATCAGCCGGGCCTGTGCATTCATAGCTCAGAATGATATAATAACACCTGATTGTCGATCTAACCATCACTCCTGGAGGAAGATCATTGACATAATCGCTGAAGTACCTAGATAAACAAAAACAAGAAAAAGAAATGATCAAAAGTCAGAGAGTGAATCAGCTCATGCCTTTGATTAGAAACGTTCACGTTTTATGTTATCAGCAACAGCAGACAGCATGTACCGCAAAATTGTCAAGGACGCGATGGCACAGCCAAACTCTATCTCGCCAGCCTGGAAGTCACCGAAGCTCTCTAAGTCAATTCAACTATGGCAGCGAATTGCGTAAAATCGACACTAACCTTTTCTTCCATCTCAAGTTCTGGCTTTAGAGACATGACTTGCTGGGCAGTTCTTTCTATTGATCCAAAGATCCAAAGGTAAATATCCATTCTTAAGACTCAGCATTTTTTGAAGGATCTAAGCAAAACCTTTATAAGCGGCGTCTTTTGAAGCATTTGTGTTGAGATACACCAGTTTTCGATAGCAATAATCAACAAGCTGCGAGAAACAAAAAGTTATAACAACAAAAAAGAAGAAGTGGAAACCATACCTCAAGAAGGTTGCTGCTACCCAGTGCTTTACACGCTTCCTTGTGAAAGAGCATGATCTGCGAGGGAAACTAACTCTTGTTAACACTACGGGCTTCCAAATTTCGTCTATCGCACCTCAAACAACTTTATAACTGTTACTTCCTGATAGAAAATCAGGCTCAGCCTTATTGTAGATGACATTCCAGCCAAGTGCTTCATTATATGAGGCAAGACCTTCTCTTTCCAGATCTACGCTTGTCACAACGATCGAGTGAGCTCCATAGATAGATAGATATTTGTATTACCTCGATAACAAGAAGCTCATGAATCAAAACTCCTAGCTTTTCAAACGAAAGCAAAGCCTGTAGCACAAAGAAAGAAGAAAAGACGATCAAACAAGTGTTTATCTACACAAGAATCGAGATCTCACCTCCATAATGAACTCGTCACAGTGAGCTATAGTGTTATAATGGGCCTGATCAAAAGAAACAAAAAGAATCACGCGTCAGAACGATCGCGATCTAGACAAACCTGGAGATTAAGCTTTTCTAGCTTCCGGTGTTGCTTCATCCACGCAGGACATCCCACCTGACAGCAAAACTTCACAGAAAAACGAAATGCAAGACAATCCATGCCTCTTTCACCGAGAAACACTTGAGATTCTCCACAATGTGCTCCGCCTCATGAGCTGTAAGCAGCACCTGGCATCAAATCGAGCAAGAATGAGACGAGAATCAAGCCCTCGACGATCAAACCACGTCCACCGCCTTGAGATGCCCCGGCTTCTCCATAACCAGCACAAAGAGCCCTAAAATTTCGAAATTTTCCCTCTCAGAAGGCAAAGACTTCCATTCCTTATTATTACGAAGAAACAAACGGTGAGGAAAAAAAGAGAGAAGCGCCTATTCTACTCCAAAAGATCAATTTTTTTTTTCTTCACCGTCTCTAAGATCTAAGAACTTGTCTTTGAATCACGTCGAGCATAGAACCTTTTTTTTGGCTTTTGGTGTTGCTGTCGTCAATGGTAGCTTGCGATCGAGATAGAAGAGAGAAACTATAGATTGCTGAGAAGAATCTTACCGTCCCAGTTCCATGGGTTCTTGTCGGGGCTCAGGAGATAGAACGCGTAGCCAGCAGCCGCCGTGCACGCCAGAGCGACGCTCGCGCTCAAGCACGCATTCCACAAGCTCATCTTCTTCTGGAGAAACTTGCAGTGATCCAAAGCCTTGATCGACTCGGCTTCCAGCTTGGGATCTTGTTTCATCTTGAGACTCTGCACATACAAACAAGAGTTAGCGAACATCTCAAAGGAAAGGGCATTTCCAGCTCTCACCTGGAGCTTTAGTGATGTCACCGTGCTCTGTAACTCTTTGAGTGGCGAGAGCATGGACTGGGATTCCCTCCAAGTGCCCCTAAGGAACTTTAGGACACGCACGCTGCCTTTCAACCTTTCCGGATAGAGCTTCTCCTGCAATAGTACAAGTTCGATAGACACAAGAGTTCAAGGTCTGTCACAAAGAAACCTTAAGCAGGACTCACCCATTGCTTGTAGCTGTCGGGTGACTGAAACAAACACCACCTGAATAGATCGCAGCCTTCAAGGGACAACTCGGGATCATCTGCCAGGACAAGCTTAGATGAGGGAGGCCCTCAGATAATGCAGATAGTTTACCTTCTTCGGCCACGGTAAGGGACATCGGAAGAAGCTGCTGAGCCACAGTCTTTAGTGCTCGAGTGCGAGTAGAGCCTCCAAGAGAAATTTCTTTCACTGTGGGATAAATCGCCAAATACCTTTGCGTTGCCTGCACGCGAATGTCAATATCTTGCCCGCCAAAAATGAGTAGTTGTACCTTAGTTCTAGACGACTCGGGTGGATACGCCATATGGAGGCACGCAATGAGCGCGTGAGGAGAAATCAACCTCTCCTTCCTTGTAGCACCAGTCAAGAGAGAGGGGCGGTTCTTAGCGAGGTCTTTCATCACAAAGCTGCAATAAATGCAAACCATCAGTCATGAGATAAACAAGAGCTATCGTACCCCTCAAAAAACTGGAGAGCAATGTCCCGAGTAACAGGAGTGCTGGAGCTACCAACAGCCAATGGGAGAAGATTATGGGACCACAGATATAATCCAGCAAGCAGATCCTCACGAGCTACCTGCGATAAATGTTAAAACCTTCGGAGCACAGGACAGTATCAAACACCAACCTGGCCGTACATCCAGGCCAGTACGTAAAGCTTCGGTGGAGCTTGAAACTTCGGTTGTCGAAGCGTTTCCATCATTCCCAGTAGCACTTCGGACCTTCTTCTCAGTAGTATGGCCACAACAACGAGCACAGCAATCTGCCAAAGACACGCGCAAGTTGGTTGCGACCGGTCAGGATATATGTGTAGAGATAAAGAAATAGCGCCACAAAATGTCATGGGCTAGCTACCTTTGTGCTGTTGGAAACCGTAGGACCACTCTTCCCACCCTTTTGCTGGGGCTGAGCCTCGAACAAAACATCGTTCAGGGCCCAGGAGACGAATTGTGACAAAGAGTCCACGGACTTCTGTCCCAGCCAGTTAGCTGTGGCTCTACACACTTTGTCAGGAAGATCCCCGATAGGAACCTTGAAATGTGAAGGAAAACAGCCAGCATTAGTCTCTAAGCATCACGAGAAGCATTTAAACTCTCACCTGGACGCTCTTGAGCAGCGGATCCCTCGACATCTTGTCCCACGCGATCTCTACCGTATTTACAGGCGAGAAAATCTTGACGAAGTAATCCACGCAACGAATCAATTGAATATCGTCGTAAGACGCCTGGAGGAGAAAACCAAGTGTCAGCATGCATGGAATTCGAAAAAAGAAAAACTAAAGAAGAAAAAACGATGAAGAACATACCGACAAGGTGGCGAGATAGTCTGCCAGATCCACTGGGTCAATTGCAGCCGCAGCATCGGCAATAGAAACCTTTGGCTTCTTTGCCTTTTTTTTCTTCTCGCCTCCATTGGCACTGCCTCCTACAGCGGCATTCTTAGACTCAACATCGCTACCTTGCTCCTCATCGTCGCTGCCGTGAGGATGATGGACGCCATTCGCGGCGGGGATGGCAGCGGCGGCGACACTGGCGCTCCATGCAGCCTTCCTCGACTTGCGCCGCTCGGTTCGCGCCTCCGCCTCCTTCTCCAGCGCCTCAAACGCCTTGGAGGAGTTCTTCCCATCTTGACCTAACCCAGCGCCCCCTTCGCCTCCTCCTCCCCCCTCGGCCTTGAGCTTCCTCTCCCGCAGCCGCTGCTTCTTAGGGTTTGTCACCTTGTGCCAGCCGTGATCCGGCGCGCCAGGAGCCCCCGATCCATTCCCGCTGCTGCTCGCAAGCTCGAAATCTCCATTGCTTTCCATCTCGTCGCTCCAATCCTGGAGCGGCGACGAATCCACGGCAGCTGCTGGCGCCATAGCCGCTCTCTTCCTAGCTACACTCTCTCCGTGATCTCAAGTCGATCTTCTCCTCGCGCTCTCCCTCTCGCCGATTTCTCGCTCGCGCGCTACCTAGAATTTCCCTCACCTACAAAAAGAGGTTTAGCCTAGCGATCGTTTAAACACTAACGTGCCACGTCCCATTAGACAAAGGAATTACCTTTTTCACGCCATTTTTGTCATCGCGCCGGCATATTCTCTCAAAGGGTCTGCTAAGAGAAAAAGAGGTTGCGAATATTCAGCTAAGCCCCAGCATATTCCGCTGGCGCTGGGTATATTCGTTTTACGCTTTGGAAGCAAGAAACCGCGGGGAGACTCTCACTTCATAGACAGCTCTGCACAGCACAATCATGCAATCGAAAACAACATTGACACGGCATTCTTGACGAGATCTTGTGACTTAGATTGATTTATTTTCTTGTTTTTGCATTGAAGGCTTTCTTTTTTATTGATCTTCTTTTAATAGTAGGAGGTGGCGGGCCTTTGACTTCTCAATCCTTTGAGGTTTACATTTGCATCCATTGCACTGTGGTCTAATGACTCCATTTGAGCGCCAGTCACCCATGTAATAATAATCGAAAAAGGTGGCTTGGTCAGCATAAAGTTTTTATTATAAAATTAGATCCCGAGGATTAAAATTTTATTCAACTAAATTTAAGTTTTTAGTAATATATCAAAATTTTAACTTAGATTACTATTTGATCGACCTTTGTTCTTTCCTGATAGATTTCAGCATGAACTCACACTTATAACCAATGATATGTAATCAACCCAAAACTTAAAAGTGATTTAACTTTTGGAATAGGGAAATACTCAACATTAAAATTGATCAAAGACAAAAAATTAAATAAAATTCTCAACTTTATGCATATGCTTAGCATTAAGATAAAAAGGACCACCAGACTGGAAATGAGAATTATAAGAGTCACAAATAATTAATGTGCCAAGAAAAGAAAATACTATAGATAAAGAGAAAAACTAGGAAAATAAGAAGGTGGTTTCATATGAACAGCAATGAATAAAAAGCGGAGCTCCTCCAACGAGGTAAGATCGATCGCAAAGAGTGCGAGATAGGCCTAGCAAGACGCAAATTCTAGACGATAGGCTCACCTCCCGCTTAGAGATGACGGCAGCGCTCGTCATTGTACAAAAGCTCCGACATGGCTGCGCGTGAATCGCCACTGGTCCGTCCACCTGGCGCCTCGTAATTCGTCCACGGGTGACTGCTCTTCCATGAATGGCATATTCCAATCCATGTACCAGAAAATGCCCCATGCAAGGGCGACAGGAAGAATATCTCTAAATCATCGAGCAAAGAGTGGAGAGTAACATTAGCCGTGGCACTGCACGCGGTGGTGTGGCGCTATAGGGACGTAGACGTGGCGCTGATCACAGTGTGCCCTAATGCGCTGTTTGGCAGACCCATCTTCTTACTACTATCCACAAGCTGGCTCAGCAACTGGACAAAGCAGTGGAAGAGATAAGCCTTTTTTTTTCTTTCCCTCTCTTTCTCTCTCTTCCTTGTGGATTGGCGAGGCAGTGGAAAAGCGAAAAAAGAGAAAGAAGGCACGGAATGCGCTAGCTGGGCAGCTGGAACAGCTATGGATTCCGCGACCCAAGAAGAGAGCGAGGCAAAAGGAGCCAGGAAAGCACCTGGAGTGAGAAGACAAGGTATGGCGCACCGCTGGGCCGGGGAATCTCTAATCGGCCTCTGCCCAATGCCATATTCGGGGCTGGGAGCCGAGCATGACTGAAATCGCGCTCGCATTTCACCGCCCAGGTCGCTGATCATCGCTTTCAGTCGCTAAAACAGGGGAGGGGAGAGAGAGAGAGAGAGTGAGACCAAGCTTAACGTAAGAGAGAGGGAGTGCGAGAGAAAGAGAAAGAGATGGGTAGCAGCACAACCATCGTGTGGTTTCGGCGAGATCTGCGAGTGGAGGACAATCCGGCGCTGGCGGCGGCGTCCAAGGCCGGGGCCGTGGTTCCGCTGTTCATCTGGTGCGCTGAGGAGGAGGGAGAGTTCCGCCCGGGGAGAGTGTCGCGATGGTGGCTCAAGCAAAGCTTGATGCACCTGAATTCCTCACTCGCCAAGCTCGGCTGCCCGCTCTTGATGCAAAAGTCCCGCGGCAGCAGCCTCAACGCACTGCTCCAGATCGCCAGGGACACCAAAGCTACTCAGGTTTTCTACAATCACCTCTATGGTGAGCACCATGGATTTTCCATCTTTCCTAGGTAGAAACTTTGTATAGCCTATAGTTCCTCGAGTTCTCTCCAGTTCCTCCAAGTTGTCTTTCGATAGCCAACTTCTCTTATGATCTAACTCTTTCGCTCCTGTTCCTCCACAGATCCCGTGTCGCTCATCCGAGACCACCACGTAAAGCACGGGCTCTCGCAGTACGGCATCACCGTACAGACCTTCAACGCGGATCTCCTCTACGAGCCGTGGGAGCTCTTCGACGCGCGAGGCAATCCATATACACACTTTCAATTGTTTTGGCAGCGCTACCTCGGCATGGACCACGAACCCGACGGCCCACTACTCCCGCCAAAGCGCCTCTCCCCGCCAGCCGAGCCGGGGCTCGGCCACCTTGGCCTCCCAGCCGAGGAGCTCGGCCTCGAGGACGACTTCGAGAAGAGCAGCAACGCGATGCTGGCCCGGACTTGGACGCCCGGCTGGAGCAACGCCAACAAGGCCCTGGACGCGTTCCTGGCCGGGCCGCTGGCCGACTATGGCGACAACCGCGGCAAGGTGGACGGTGGCACCACGTCCATGCTCTCGCCGCACTTGCACTACGGCGAGCTGAGCATCCGGAAGGTGTTCCACGCCGTGCGCAGCAAGCAGCTGCTGTGGATCACCGACGGCAGGCAGCCCGCGGAGCGCAGCGCGAGCTTGTTCCTGCGAGCGCTCGGCTACCGCGAGTACTCGAGGTACCTGTGCTTCCACTTCCCCTTCACTCACGAGCGATCGCTGCTGGGGCACCTGAGACACTTCCCCTGGAGAGTTGACGAGGGGTTCTTCAAGGCGTGGCGGCAGGGGCGAACTGGGTATCCTCTCGTCGACGCCGGGATGCGCGAGCTTTGGGCGACGGGCTGGCTCCACAACCGGATCCGCGTCATCGTCTCGAGCTTCTGCGTCAAGTTCCTCCAGCTCCCGTGGCGCTGGGGGATGAAGTACTTCTGGGACACGCTGCTGGACGCGGACCTCGAGTCGGACATCCTCGGGTGGCAGTACATCTCCGGGAGCCTCCCGGACGGCCACGAGCTGGACCGCATGGAGATCCCACACGTAAGCCTCCATTGCCCGCCATCTTTTCTCTCTCTAAGAGCAAACCCGGGGTTTTGTGCAGGTCGAGGGGCGGCGGTTCGATCCGGATGGCAACTACGTCCGGAAGTGGCTGCCGGAGCTGTCGAGGCTGCCGACGGAGTGGATCCACGAGCCGTGGAACGCGCCCCCGAGCGTGCTGTGCGCGGCGGGGATCGAGCTGGGCTGCAACTACCCGAGGCCGGTGGTGGAGATCGCGGCGGCGCGGGAGCGGCTGCAGCGGGGGCTGCGGGACATGTGGGAGCACAACAGTAACAGTATCAGCAGCGGCAGTGGGACGCCGGAGCCGCCGGAGATAAACAGTGACAATGGCGAGCAGCAGATCAGAGACTATGGCGGTAGCAACGGGCACCAGCGACGATCAAACGACCAGATGGTGATGGAGCGCCAAAACCAGCAGCAGCAGCAGCGAGACCGATGTTCGGATACCTCACACCCGGATCAGATCGTTCCAACGCTCCTCCCTGACTTTAACACGCTGCGGTCCGGGTCCAGCCGGATCCATCATCACCACCACCACCACCACCACCATCTTCAGCCGCAGCAGCACAACTTTGCGCTGGCGGGGCCGGGGGAAGATTTTCATCCCGCCAACCACAGACAGGAGCAGCATCCCCAGCAGCAGCAATTCCCTCAGCTGCAGCTGCAGCAACCCCAGCAGCAGCATCAGCAGGCGGTCGAGATGATGGACAGTGATGTCAACTCCACCGCGGAGTCGTCATCAGCCTTTAGGAGGAATTACGACGGCTACGCGACAGCTGCGGCGGTATGGTTCCCCACACACAGCAATCGACGTAGGGTGGACTTCTCAGCTTACTTGTGAATATCTCTCTCTTTGTCTCTCTCTCTCTCTCTCTTTTCCAACTCTCTTTTCTCTCTCTCTCTCTCTCATAAGGTAGCATAGAAAAGGATGGGTTTCTGTTGAAGTTTTTAGTAAGCTTTGTAGCATTGGTTTTGATCTGGAAGGAAAACTTTGTAGGAGCATCTCTTGCACTAACTTGTGGGGCTCTACACACAGCTTAATGAAAAGGAATCGGTGCGATGGGACTTGAATGGATGCCTCCTAGCAGGGGCTTGTGGAGAATTGCTGACTTTGGTGGGGTCTCGCGCAGGGGGAGAAGCTTTCGTATTTTATGAGTGGGAGTTGTGGGTTTTGTGGGAGGCAAAGCTTTATAGGCTTGTGCCGACAGATCCAGCCACAAACCATTGTATAAATGGTGTTTCGCTCGGTTTTCAGTGATTAAGCCATGAGAGATCCACTGATCGGTCACCGAGTATGGTCGATCCGTGATCATCGGGAGCCCAAAAAACAAATGGGTGTTCCAAGCCGGCACTTTGGACTAGGTATCATAGACGCGGCCAATCCTTTTGGACGAGACCATATACCTTAATGCCATTGGGAGACATGCACTATCATTGTTTACAAGGCGGTGGTGGTGGTGGTGTTGATAGCGACGTATAGTATAAACATGAATTGGGTTTGCATGGTTTCCTCCATCAAAAGCTTGCTTCATTCTTTACTTATTTATAAACAAAGGAATCGTGGATGTGGATACATGGGGATCTTTTCGCAAGCACGCCGGCCAATGGGATGCCATTCCTCCGCCCCGTCAGCCAATCAAAACCAGCCTCTCGTTGCCGGGTCCACGTGCTTCATTGGACGGCCTTGCAGCCACGTCGGCCGGGGCCCACCGCCACGCGTCGGCTGGAAAGAGGGCTGACGTCAAATCCAGGTACCTCATTGGCCGTTTATAAGTAGCTTGTAACCTTATTTTAAATCGGTCCTGGTTAAGGGGTGATGGCCCCTCGTGGGAGTAATGGCCACCAGACTCTGGACCAATCGGCTGCCTTTGGCCACGGGGTCGGGAGATATTTCGTACAGCCAGTGGCCACCCGCCAGCGCGACACTCTTCTTTTTCCTTTGCTTCTAAATTGGTGCTGAAAATCGGTTGGTGGTACGGCATCAATGTTGTCTGAAGCTTGGGTCCACTTAGGCTATTAAAATTCTTCCCTAAATGCTTTAATCACTCTTATATGCTTTGTCCAGCTGTAGTGGATCAGCAAATCTCTCCCGTGCACTATACATAGTAAGAATATAGCAAAGCCCTAAAAAATTTGCTCGCCGGAAACAAGGGCTTAAAATATTTTGTCCAAAGTCCCATTTTGCCCAATGGGGTACGGCTCCGAAGCAGCGTGGGCCACCCAGAGGCGTGGGGCCCAGGCCGCGACGCGTGTTTTGTTCGTGGTGGTGCGGGGAAAGCTGGTAGGTATGGTGCCGGACCTGGTTGTCTGGGCTGGAAGTTTTCTTGTCGTAGGTAATTGGGCACGATATCAAAATCTGTGGCTGTGGTGGCTTGCCTGCCATCGATCCCCTTACCGCCCTCCATTTGATACACTCCAGTACCGTCAATAATGTTTTTTTTTTCTCGTCAAATTTTCTTAACTCTAGGTGACTTATACTTTAACCCTTTGATATCCGATTTTTTACCCTGTTCTTCATTTTGTTCTCTTCGTTTTCTCTCTTCGCGCTGTCGTCTCCACTGCCTTGGCCAAGAACCGAGCGATTGCGTGCGAGGGCTGTGGTTTTAGGGCTCGGTGTCTGGAATCCGCGAGGCCAGCGCCGGATCGATCGGCTCCCGGGGGAATCTCTGAGTTTTTCTGTGCCGGTGGCTGTTTGGTTTGCACAGATTTCATGAGAGGAGCTCGCCCGGGGGGCGGGATCTCTTAGGGTAGGAGGAGCGCCCGGATTGGAATGCGGGCAAGATCGCGATGGAGCGCCGAATTCCTGGGGATGGATCGATATTTCGGGCGGGGGAGGTGAGAATCGGGAGGAGGGGGCATGATTCACGAATGGGGAGGCGAGGAGGAAGAAGGTGGGGGATATTTCACTAGCGCGCGGCGGTAGATCGTGGTGTTCTTCCCTCATGTTTCCCTTCTTCAACATGTATTCGTCCAAGGCGGAGCAGATCTTGTCGCGCTATCGTCCAATTGCGCCCAAGCCCCCTTCGGCGCCATCCAGCGCCACCGGCAGCGCCAAGCCCGATCAAGCCCCAGCGCCCGCCGATGCCCCGACGCAATCCTCCTCCTCGGTGTCGCCAGGGTGTAGGAAGGGGCGCAAGAGATCCGGCGATTCCTCGCTCGGCTCGCCCCGGAGCTACAAGCGATCGGCGGCCAACAATCGCAGCAAGCAGCAGCAGATTCACCAGCAGCAGCAGCAGCAGCAGCAGCAGCAGCAGCAAATCCAGCTCCAGATCCAGCAGCAAATCCACCACCAGAGCCAGCAGATGGTGCCAGTGATGGTGGACATCGCCGGGAGCTTGTCCACGGTCACCACGTCCGTATCGATGCTGTCGGACGCCCAGGCATTGCCCGGGTGGAAGATCATAAGGCCCGCAGTGGCAGTAGGAGGAGGATCGATTGGCAACACGAGCACACAGTCGTACGCCAGGAGCCCTAACGTCGTGCTCGAGGACGCGGGCAGCAGCGTCATGGTGGCGGCCAAGCCGCCAGCCACGCTGGCGAGCAGTGGCGGCGGCGGCGGTGGCTATAGCCTCCGGAAGAACAGCAGCAGCAATTCGAGATCGCTGGTGAGTGATCTAGGCTCCAACGTACAGCAAGTATCTCCTCCTCCTCCTCCACCGCCGCCATCATCACTACCTCCGCCGCCGCCGCCGCCGCCGCCGCCTCGCCAGGCTTCTCCTCCAGCTCCCATCGCTGCCTTGGAAAATGGCAATGGCGATGACGAGAGGCCCAAGCTTGTGACGCTGTCGTTGCTGCCAGACACACCAGCGCAGCATCAGCTCGCGAATCCAGTCCCGGAGGTGGTGTCATCGATCGATTTGCTGGGGCGGCGGGACCGGGATAGATACAGGGACGATTCCAATCGGCTGGAGCTGAGCTTGTGCTCGGGCAGCTCGGCGTCGCCGGCGGCGCGGCGGTATGGCGCGGCGGCGCAGCCACGTACCGCCGCGGTACACGAGCAAAGGGTTCCTCAACAACAGCAACAAGAACAAAGCCGCCAGGATGCCTTCCACCCGCAGAATCATCATCAGCAGCACCGCGCCGGGATGGTGATCGACTCGAGCTACTTGGAGCAGGCCTATGGCGGATCGTCCGACCCGGTGGCCCTCACGGAGGATCTCGGCGGTGGCGCATCCAGCACCCGCTCCGTGGTGCTCTGGTCCAACCTCAGCTACGACAAGGTGGTGTCGGAGAGGCTGGGCGGTAAGCCGCAGCGCGCCGCCGGGCCGTACATCGATCCGCTGGGCCTCCCTACGCAGCTGGGATGCTTCCGGTATAGAATGCGGGACTCGGAGTGCAATGCCGTGCTGTGGGGATTCCTCAAAAAGTTCATGCACACTGGCCTCCCGAGCTCTTCTTCGTCCAAGCCGGGTGGCAGGGCTGAGTTTGTGGAGCAAAGCTCGAGCTCGATCCCACAACAGCACCAGCACCAGCACCAGCAGCAAAGGGTGATCGCTCCACAGCCGGTCCGTCCAGTGCCGCTGGTGGTCGGCTCCAACGTGTGCCTCGACTCCATAACCGAGGTGAACTCCTACGCGGGCTACCTCTCCGGGAGCCTAGAGACGGTGGAGTCGCAGCTGGAGAAGGACGGCCTCCCGGCGTTCGTCACGGACAGGAGCAACCGCGTGCGCTGGGTGAACGCCGCCTACAACCAGCTCGTGCGCTCCTCGTCGGGCGGCAGTAGCATCGGGCTGCAGGACTCGGCCAGTAGCAACAGCATGAACGCTGCTGCCACCACGGGCGCCATCGCCACCACCGTCCAGCCCGAGGTGGTGGTGGTGGCCGCGGCCTCCACGCCCACCCCGGACGTATGCGTCACCTTCCAGAGCGAGCGGAGCCCCTACTCGGCCGTGAGCTTGGTCGGGCAGGCGAGAGTGGATTGGATGGAGGGCGTCAAGCGCTGCTACTTAAGCGGCGTGCCGTGCGAGATGCGGCGGCTGGACGACCAGCACCTGGGGAGCCTCTTCGTCTGGAAGCTCAACCTTAACGTCGGTAGCGGCGGTACCGCGCGGTACGCCGCCGCCGCCGCCGCCGCCACTGCCACCACCGCCGCCGCCGGCGGTAACCACAGTAGCAACGTCCAGGTGTACGGGCACGAGTGTTATGGTGTACGGGAGAGAGGATTTGTCTAAACCCTCTTTTTTTTTCTCTGAGCTGCTGTCTTTGTCACCACCACCACCATGAATGGAGTATGGACCAATCCGATTCTCAAAATGATCTTGGGTCCCGCAATGCCTGGCAAAGGAAATCTTTTCTTATTTTTCCGTCCATCCATATCATACGACCTTTGAATTTCTCCTCTAGCGGTGACATCACTGTGTGTTTGACGTCACTAAAGCCTTGCTGGTGGCGATGGTGGTGGCGATGGTGGTGGTGGAGAAGGATCAATCTCTTCTCCCTCTTCTCTCGCCTTTTTTTCTTCCAAGGCTGGGATCCACACTTCAGTCGCCATCTCAGGTCCTGGAAAACGATATCTAGTACTTTGGAAGTTTGATCATCTAATCGATCGATCCAAGTTCCAGCAAGAAAAATCAGCTCTCACTCTCTTTCGTAGCTAGAAAACTGGAGGGAACGTACCAAACGAAATTCTTTGCACGGGTGGCTCTTAAAGAAGGTAAGGGGGGGCTCGAATCCTAGCTTTCTCGTTTCCTGGAAGAAGCACGGCTTTCAGATTTGGTCACAGAACAAAACAAAACAAGAAAAGAAAACCGTTTCTTTACTGAGGAGATTACAGACCTGAGAGTAGACTGACACGCGCACGCTTGAAACTCCATTGTTTCTCTAGGAATCGTCCTCCCAGTCCATGGACACGGCCTTGCGCAGCGCACCCATCATGTTTGGCTTGTCTCTAAACCTCGACCCGTCCTCCAAAACTTCTCTAAGCCGCCTCCCGTTGTCTAGGAAGATGAAGTCGCTCGGGTGCCGGGCAGTGCTACCTACGTGCTTCTCAAACGAGGACGCGTTGAAGCCCTGCATTAGAATAAAGACATGGCTAGGACTCGAGAGAAACAAACAAACGTGAACTCCCTCACCTGGTGGCTTTTACAATGTCGACAATTGCACAGAATGACACCGCTCTTGACAACTCCACTTCCCAACACCTGGACAAAGCGTCAACAAGGTGGTTGTCGTAAAAAAGAAACTGAAGATCACGAGATGAAAAACAAGATACCATACCTCTCCCGGCCGTGGCATGTACCGCACGGTGAGACCCTCCAAAACTCCCGACTCGAGCAGCCACTTCGCCGACACAGTGAACTCTTTCACCACCGGATCCGGCGGAGGAGGAGCCGCCGCCTTACTCTTCCCGGGCTTGGAAGTCTCTTCTTCCTGAATCGACGTCTCAGCCGGCGGGGTGTCATTCGACTTGGAGGGACTAGCACGGTCAGTGTTTTGGCATTCTAGCTCGTTTGAGGTGCTGGTATCCGACGCTTTCTTATGTGAACCGTGTCGTGGCACCTGCTCTGGCTTGGCATCCTCCACCGGCGACTCGGTCTCGAACGGACACCTGTGTCCTTTCTTTGGTGCCAAGCATCTGCTACACCGGTAAATCGCACGGGAACCAGGGCCGCCTTTCTTTCTCATCTCCGGCAAGCAGCTCATGGAGCCATCGTCGTGCCATGGGTTGCCGAAGAACATTGGAGACAGCATCTCCTCTTCCGGCAGCGAGAGGCCATCTTCTTCACTGGATTGAGCGACCAGGCCATCGTGACGTAACCGTAGCACTTCTGAGCCTGTGATTGCCGACGAGAAGCCGTGGATGTCAACTTCGTCAAACACCACCTGAACAGCACGAACGGTAAGGAAAAAAGAAGAAAAAGAGGAAGAGCTACGAGGAAAGCTTGCCTTTTCATCGGCATCCGCCGTCTCGTCTCCACCGGGAAGCGGAAGCGCGGAGCGCACTGCGGGCGGAGCTGGCAACGCCGATCTCACGGCCGGAGGAGCTGCTGTAGGCGTCGCGGTGATGACCGGAGGCACTGCAGCCGGCAGAGGAAACGGAAGCGGCGATCGTTTCGCAGGCACAAACAACGGTGTCCGCGTAGCCGTCACCGCAACTAAAGTTTGTCCGTCCATCGCCCGCTCCTCGTCGGCATGACGCTTCTTGGAGCTCTTGGAGTCCGCCGAGCACGAAGGCTCGGATGAGACGCTCGCCTCGGAGCGATCGGCCACCATATCCGTGTTGACGGTGCAGCAAAACCGCCCCGCCGATCCAGCCACCTCCTCCTTCACAGCCGTGGCCTCCTCCTCCAAAACACCACCCGTGTGGTTGGTCTCCTCGCGAGAAGGTGACGCATTCTCGGTGGCCGGACTAGCTTTGCTTTTCACAGCCGAGGGAGGAGCTTTGGTCTCGGGCGCGGGTGTACTTCGCTCCTCCTCTTCCTCCTCGTCCTCCTCCTCATCTCTCTTCTCTTCTCCATGGAGCCGCTGCTGCCTGTGAATTCCCCTCTTGTGCTTCTTGATCACCAGTGCCTCCTGTGCTTCTGGAGCTTTTCTCTTGAGGACGATCTTTAGCCCCTCCCTCTTGGCGGCCGCTTGCCGTTCCCTCAGCGACTCGCTACGCGTGCCATACCGACCATTGCTGCTGATCTTGAGCTTGATCTTCTTGATCAACCCTGGCGACGAGGATTTCCCTGTGCCTGTCCCTGTCCTCCTCGGCTCCACCTCTGCGTCATCGGACAGCAAAGCCTGCGCCCTGGTTCTCATGAACAAGACCTAGAGCTGCCGGCACTGGCAATCCAGGGAAGAGAATTTTATCTCCGCCAAATCCAAATCCGGCCGCGCTGCCCGCGCTACCAGAAATCTCAGCAGCGCGCGCGCCACTCACCTCGCAACCGCATTCCCTGGCACCCCGGGGCTCGCGCTACGCTCCCTCGATTGGCTTGCTGCTCGCGCCAAACCCTAAATTTCAATCCCGTCTGCCCCTAGCGTTGAAAGAAAGGACGGTGCCGTACGCGCACGGCGGTGACGATGTTTTAAAGGTGGATATTCCGTGAGAAGGATATCCGCAATATATTCCCGAATCAGGCATATTCCCCGTCGTCAAACACCCAGGGCTCTCGCTCGTAGAGCTCTCGCCCATTCATCCGCGCGCGCCCGGCGGCGATGTCCTCGCGCCGCTTGCGCGATCGCTCCGCCGCCACTGCCGCCGCCTCCGCATCCTGGAACCAAGGCAGAATCGATCGATCGATCGCTCGATCCAATGAAGAGGGGAGTCTACCTTGCGCTGCTTCCAATCGCGGTACTGGAGCAGTGTGATGCGCCCTTGCGCAGGAGCTAGCGCCTTGCCGATGCCCTCTTCCTCCCCCATTTCTCTCACCTAGGTTAGATCTCTCTCTTTCTTTCTCTTCTCTCTTAATACTTGGGCGTTGTTCTTTCGTTCTTTCTTTTTCCATTCATTTACAGCGTTACGAGAAAACAATCTTCTAATCATCCTCCCCTCCACGAGTTCTTCCAAATTTTTTTCAATCTTCCAGCAATCTCCTCCTCTTTCTCACGCTCTGCGATTTCACTCCGTGCCACCTCGGGTCCTCGATCTTGATCTTCCAGTGCCCGTCCGGGTAGCGCTTCCTCTTCGCCTTGATAATGTCCCACTCGAGCAAGAACTTCTGCGTCCCCTGGAGCACGCAAAACTTCTGGAGCTCCGCCGGCATGGTGTCGTGGATCTTCCACCACATCGCGTGCACGGGGTCGCTCGCGAAGATGTGGAGCTGGTCCTGGTTCCAGTTGCAATCGTAGTCCCGGAAGCACAGCCACGGCTTGATCCCCAAGAAGTGCATTGCGTACAGCACCGGAGGCTCGGCCGTGAAGAGCTGGAGCTTGCGCCGGTTCTCCACCGTGTTGTTGTCGAAGTGCTTGAGAAAGTTGACGGTCCCGGGGAGCCTGTGCCACCAGGTGAAGATCTCGTTCAGGTACCCCTGGTCGCCACCATTGTAAGAATCGATGCTGCCGATGTTGTCAACCAGGAACTCGAACGTACAGTTGCAAGGCTCGATCACCATCACCCCCGAGTTGAACAGGCTCTGGTCGTTTCTCGTCGCGGTGATCTCGGGCAAGTCGAACAGGAAGTCGAGGTTGCGGAGGAGAACAATGTCGGCGTCGATGTAGATGATCTTGTCGTACTGCGTGAGCTGCCAGAGCCGGAACTTGCTGTAGTTCCACTCGTTGTAGGACGAAGGCTCGGCCTTTGGGTTCCTGATCCTCTGGATGGTGAAAACTTTCCAGCCTGCCAGCTCCAGCCCCTGTCTCTGATCCAGTCTAATGCTCTCGTCCACGAGAAGAACTAAGTCCCGAGTCGAGCCGGTCGATCTAATGCTGTGAGCCAAACTGATAGCACCGCATACGTACGATTGGGCCGAGTGAAGGATCGTTGCGTACGCCTCCCGCGACTCGACGTGCTCCACTGTGATCATCACATCACGCACAAAAAGAGCTTAAGTTGCTGTGTAGAGAAAACGGAGGTCTACCTTTGGCTTTTGGTGGCATCGCTAACTGGCACGATCCGACTGGTAGCGCGAGCAGTCCCCGGACTCTTTTAAGATTAAGCTTGTATAGCCAGTAACCGTCTTGATGTTCGATGAGTTCCTGGCAGACAAAGAGGTTTGGGATCGGCCTACATTTCCCACACAAGGCGACGTAGACGAAATCTGTCCCTGTGTTAGCTGCCACCTTGGCTGCTGCGAGAAAAGCTTGCAAGCAATTCACATTCCTGGCCCAGTCGTTGCTCGGCGAGTCGCACGGAATGCTGGCGACGACAAGATCCAGAGTCAGGTTCTTCGGCACTGACGGCATCGGCATGTTCGGACAGCTCGAGTTTGTTGGATCATTTTCGTCTATATCCTCCGGAAAAAATGAGGACCAGTCGAGCCTCTTCTTTACCGTCTTGAACTTGAATAAGTGTGGGCTCTCGTCCCCGCCACTGAAGAGCTCCCACTTGATAGACTCGGGCTTTTTGAAATTAACCAGACCAACTTGCAATGCTTCTTTAGTCCGCTTCAACGCTCGGATCTCCTTGGACGACTGCAGCCATCTCAAGACACCATCCTCGTTGCAAGTCGAATACGGCCTTTGATCCAACTGTCTTCTATCCTGGGATCTGGAGGAAAGAAGGAAATGCCGGTCCAGCGATTTAGAGAGGAGATCCTTGGCGAAAGAAAGGAACCAATTACCTCAAGTTCTGTAGAACAACATCGCTCTGAGAAGTTGTGAGCAGCAGCAATGTAATTAGGGAGGCTGCGGCAAATACCAGAGCTGTGAAGGCCTTGTTCCTCTTCCGTTCCAGGAATGTGTAGCTGAATGACCCAGATTCCTCAAGTTTCTTCTTCTCCGCATCCTTTCGAACTTTCTTCTCATCCCAATTCGACAGCAAATTGGTTGGCGAAAGATCGTCACCCTCCCTGAACGAAAGAACAGAACACTATCATCAGTATGACATGAATTGGAGACAGCCGCTGAGAGAACAAAGATCTTGAAACTAAAGACGCGCAGTCAGCTAGAATTGTGCGAGCAAGAGACCGAGAAAGCAGCGAAAAACTCTACCCAGTCTGACGATGCCGAGGCTCGGCCACCGTGTTGGAAATCCTCATCTCAGGAATCCCGAAAAATGCAAATGTAGGCAGCTCTAGCGAAAAGGATAATCGCTCGAGCTTCTAGAATTGAATCAATCAAGTAGTAATTGCCAACCTTATAACCCAAGAGACTTTCAGCCAATGCGGGCCGCTGCCCCTTTCCCAGCCATGCTTTTTTTTTCTTTTCAGCAAATGAGGGACCGATCGAACAAACGAGTGACACCGACAGGAGACTTCACCGACGTAAAAAACAGCAACAGAAAAGAAGGAAGAAGGAAGATCCAAGAAGAAAAAGTTGGAGGCGAGAAGTGGAAGTACCTGGTAGAGTTGGAGTGACGCTACTACAGTAGGACGACTCTGACGCATTCATCGAGCCTAAAATCCAAAAAGAAGAGAGTTAGTGAGCCACGATGACGAGAGATTCTTTGTCAAATAGTAGAGAGATCACACTTACCTTGATTGCCAAGACTAAGTCCCCGTTGAAACACGCAAGCAACGCTGCCGCTGTGGCTGCCGTGGGGCCAAGCAAACGATTAGATGAAGATTTCCAGGGCATCGACCGGATCAACGCGTGCGCGATCGAGCGAAACAATGAAAGAAAAACCGAAATTTCGAGAACATGATCACTATTCCTTGCTTTTGTTTGCTTCCCGTGCCTACCTGATGGCGACGCCCCATCCTGCGCGACATAGCCGTCGAGCGGCCGTGCCAGGAAACCCTAGAAAAACAATGGCGCTGTGACGACGACGATGCCGCAGCTACCCCCGCGCTGCTCGACAAATGCCAGCTCCGCGCTAGGGCTTGAATGGGGCCGTAAAGGCCACCAAACGCGAAAGTGCCATGGCCGGGAAAAGGAGCCCTATAAGAATATTCCACTTTTCAAATTTGAAACTTTTAGCGCCCTTTTTTGGGGAGAATGGAATCTTTTGCCGGTGGTTCTCTATCATCGATCGGAGTATCATTCGAGGGAGATGTTCCAACGCCTCGATCTTTCTTTGATTCGTGATTTCTATCATTCGATCAAAGAGATATAACGCTAGAGAATGAAGTACCACCACTGCGAGGAAATTAGAGAGGGACCCCTTGGTGATGGTCCAGATAGTTGCATTGGAGCGACAGAGGAGGAAAATAAAACTTTAAAAGAAGAGAACCTTTGATCACTGTGTAGCCGGTTAAAGTGAGTTGTCTTTTTATATCTGATCTTCTCTTTTCTATCAATGCTTGTGCCTGCGAACAGAGTTCTCAGGTTTACAAATGAAAGAAATATAGAACGAACCCGATGAACAGTAGTCGGTGGTGACAATCTCCTCTTTGGATTGACACGGCACAGCCTCTGTAGCTCCTCCGGCATTTCATCATGCCAGCTCCACCACTTGGACTGCACGAAATCGTTGAAACGATCTCGTTCAGGTAGCCTTGGTCCCCGCCGTTGTACGACTTGATCCGGGAGATCCCGTCGACCAGCATGTTAAACGTGCACTTGGATGGCTCTATCACCATTACTCCGGAGTTAAAACGCTCTTGTGGTTTTGCGGGCCGCGGACAGCTCCAGAGGAAGTCCATGTTTCTCGTCACCACCACAAACACCACTTCACCACTTTGAGCTGCCACAGCCGGAACTTGCTGTACTTCCGCAGCTCGGGTCTATAACCAGAATTAAATCTCGCTGTGAGTGAGCGAGAAGCAATGACGGAATGGAGGATGGTCGCGTAAGCTTCTCGAGAAACAATATGCTCACCTGAGTTGAAAACAAAGACGAGAAGAAGCACAAAATTAAGAGTAAGCTTTATTTGTTAGTGTTGGAACTTGAACAGTTGCAAGAGCCACCTGACCAGTAAGTTCAGTAGCCTTCCAAGACCAAGTTTGTAAAGCCCAGCTTTTCTCTTGCCGATCAAGCTCCTTGCACTTAAAAACATTTGGATTGAGCATACACTCGCTCACTCCAACGATGTGCGTGAATTTGGAGGAGCCAGTGTTGAGAGCATGTCTCTCAAGCTGGATTCGTCTCACCACAACCAAGGAAAAATCTCTCTTTTGGTCGATGCTATAAAGTACCGGCTTTCGGATGAGTTTCCAGACCAATAAACTCCTCTCGCCACATACCACTCACTTGGGAACAGCCTTTGATCTCCTCACACACCAGACATTTGCCTGAAAAAAGGAAAAGCATCAATGCAGAAACGGAAAGTTTGCACCTTAGACGCTGCAATGAATCAGCCGGAGTATGCATCACGAGTCAATCTTCGAAATTCCTGCCTCCTCGAAATGCTTCCTTCTTGCATCATCAGGTGACCAAGACAGCACTTTGTCACCCACGACGATCCGCAACATGCCCTGCGTGAAGTCGGATGGGTCATGTTCGCGGCAGTAGGAAGATCATCCCACTAAAACATTGAATCAGGGGACAGACAATTAGCAAATGAATTGGTGGTCGAATCAAGACAAACAAAATTCTGGAATGTGCAGAACGCCATATCCTCAGATTATTGACGTTGGCAAACTTTGGCGGCTTGACGAGCGCTGCGTTGAGATGGTTACGGACAAGAAGTTTGGATGAGCATGGCGGCGGAGCCTTGGCGGAGGAGCTGGCTGTAAGGATCCGACCTCCTGGTCTCCAGCGCAGTGAAAAGCGTGGTAAAGTGTGGCCGGCAAGAACCCCGAACACGGCCGAGTTGACGTGAGCAAGCCCAGAAGCTGCGAACGAGACAAAGAGAAGATCTAGGAGCGAAAGATGGAGCAACCGAGCAAAGCCCAGGAAGGAAACGAGCAAGACAAGCAAGCCCAAGCTGCAGGAAACCATCCCGAGCAAGGAGTTCCAGTGGAAGGAATGCCGCCACCAACGGAAGCCGCTGGAAGGCACGGTAGGAATGAGGGTTGCTCGGTCTCCTCCTCGGGGACGTTGCGGGTAGTTCAGTTCCTGGAAGAAGGATCACAAAGCCTCAGTTGCTCTAACTGTGATGCAATGATAAGCGCTTACATAACCATTGAATTTCTCGATGGCAGTCTTCGCAGCCTCCTCTGCGGAGAGAGTCACGAAGGCAAAACCGCGTCTCTTTCCAAGAGATCACCTACAAAGCACCACAAAAAGAAAGATCTTAGCAAGGAACAGAGAAAAGAGTTGACTTGTTCCAGTTCTGTGATGCCCACGCCATTGAAGCAGTCTGCCAGCATCTTGCTATCGACGTTCCATGCAATGTTGCCGACGTAGAGCTTGGTGTTGGGCGCTGGCAAAGCCCCTCTCGACCACGTCCACTGGCCGGTCTTCTCCCGGATAGTACGGCACCGAGATGGGAGAGAAAGGGACCTCGACAACCCCAGCGATGCACAACGCCACGGCTCTGGGAGGCGCAGCCAATAGCTGTAGACGAGAGAGCGGAGGCCACCATAGCTCTCTAGAACAGGAACAACACCAAAATCAGGCTCACATTTTCCAATCCGGCCTCCAGCTACACAATGCATCTAAATCCTTCTTACCTTCGCAGTGGAATCGTCGCCGGCGTCACACCAGCGCCTCAAAACCCCTTGGGAAGAACCGCTCATGCAGACGTGCCGTCCGTTTACATGGCAATAAAAGGGGACAAAATGATCCAATGGCAAGTTTCCTTTTAGGTTTTCTCTACTAAACCCTAGAGCTTCGAGAGAGATGGACTCTAAAAGCTTTAGGGTGTGGGAGTTATGCCAAGAGCTTTGTTGGTGGCATTTTGTTACAATGGGGTGCAAGACTGAATTAGTAATGTCCAGTTACAAATTTTATAACGTTTGAGTTGTGATCAGCTTTTTTCCCTTGTAATAGGTCACCAGGATCGACAAATGAAATTAATGAGCTATAGCAAGACAGTTGTAAGCGCAAGACCAAGAGCAGCAAACCAGGAAATGAGGGGATTAGCACGATTGGGAGGAATGGCAAAGTCACAAGAACAATGATTTGCCACTTTCGCCTGTTCTTATGACCTTGCCACTCCTCCTAATCACGCTAATCCTCAATTTGCCACTCTCGCCCGTTCTTGCAACCTTGCTGCTCCTCCTGATTGCCCTGATCCCCGGTTTGCTGCTCTCGCCCATTTTTGCGACTTTGCTGCTCTTCCTGATCATGTTAATCCCCTCATTTCCCAGTTTGCTGCTCTTGGTCTTGCGCTTATAACTGCCTCGCTGCAACTCACTGATCGCATTACCAAGCATGGTGACTATTACAAAGGAAAAAAGACTCAAATTCCATGAAATCTATAATTAGACATCCCAGGTGTAGCTTACCTGTTCTACACCCAGCAAAGTTGGCGTGTTTGTAGACCCACTTTAAACAGAGATCGAACATGCATGTCAAGAGATTAAAAAAGAAGCGTACGATAGACCCTGTCATGACAAGATGTCACCAATGAAGCTCTTGGCACAGCTCCCACACCCTGAGGCTCTTAGAGTCCATCTCTCAAAGAGTTTGCTTGCTTTGAAGCGCTTGCAAGAGGAGAATTAGGCCACCGACTTGGAAGGTTTTTAGAATGCAACGAGGTAAGTAGTTCTTGCCACAGTTTGATTGATTTGTAATTTCCTCATTTTGTAATGCAGGGTACTGCATGAAATGAGATGGAAGAGGGGCCATCCTCGGGTGGTGGTGGCAGTCAATCTTGGAGCCCGTCTAGGGAGACTCAACCAGAGTCCAATGACGGCAACTTAGTTAGTGTATTAAACTAAGTTTTCTCATTGTAGTTGTGTCCTAATTTTTCTGGCAGGACACCTCTTCTCGCAGGGGTTCACTGTGGACCACGAGGTGAATGTGATTGACAACATGGAAGCAATTAGGACTGATATCAAGTTCAGAACACTAAAGTGCAAAGACTCTTCACTCAGTGTGAGGAATAAGCTGTTCTGTGCATTTATTGCAGAATGCAAGTAAGGTGTGAGTTTCGTCTTCAGAACTTCAACTATGCCCAAGTAGACATACGAAAGAACATCTCCTCTAGATACTACAATTGGATGTACCTCCTTGTTTTTGGTGGTACGAAGTTTACATACACTATGCTCAACATACATGCTATAGCAAACATTCAAAGCAACCAAATCAACTACAACTTGTACAAAGGTATTGGTATATAATAGTTATGTTCTATGTTTTGCCAACGCTTTATGTTTAAAGAATCCTATAAGGAAAGAAGTTTGCATCCTTTGAAAGAGGAAATGTTAATGGCACAGTTGAACAGTGGCTTGCATAAACTCAAATACTAGCATGGTTTATCAAGCAAGTAGTACTTCAAAAAATTATTTCTAGTTGGGGATCTCTACATCAATGACGAAGTATGTCTTGTCATTTGTTAGCTGCTGCTTGCTAATCGGATGTTTGTAGTGGCATGATCTCCCCGGGGCCAACAACTTGAGCAATCGATCTTCATGAGCTTTCATTGAGGGCATGCTGCAGATGGGCGACAAAGTGTTATATTGGTCACCAGATGGCGCGAGGAAAGCGTTTTTGAGGAGGCAAGAATTTGAAAGATTAGCTTCCATCTAGCTTGTTTACTTTTATTTTAAGGCTAAAGCCTCTTGACGAGCTACATCAGTGGTGAGCTCGCAACATTTGATCTGTTCTAGGAGAGATTCTAAAGCTTTTGTCGCAGGAACTGGGAAATACCCCCTTTTTTGACTTCGGTTCTCAATCCTCTTCTCCGCTCGAAGTTGCAAGCTGCACTCGACTGCCCGGGGTAGAAGTTTCGCCGTCGAGTCAGAGCTAGGCATCCGCGTACAAGCAATCGCCATCCATGGCCATCGTCCCGATTTTTTTCCCGGAGTTTTCTCTGGCGCTGTAAGCATTAGCTGGAAATCGCGAATCAAAGAAAGATCGCCCTGTAATGGAACAATGCGCCAAAAAAAGTTTCAAATTTAAAATGTGGAATATTCTTATAGAGCGCAGGATAAAGGCGTAAAATCATGTTCTCGAAATTTCGGTTTTCCTTTCATCTAATCGTTTGCTTGGCGGCAGCGTTGAGCAGCGTGCTTCGGGGACTTAGTCTTGGCAAGTGTAATCCCTCTACTGACTCTGTCATCGTGGATCTAACTCGATGAATGCGTCAGCGTGGTCCTACTGCCATCGTTCAAGTATCCAGCATTGAAAATCTCCTCTGCGCAGCATCCAGCACCAGTCAACAACGAAAGAGATAGCGAAGAATGAAAGCAAATGTATCTACTTCTCTACAAAGTCCGCAAGAATGAGATACGTACCCCAAGTATCCAGGTTTGCACTTTCAATAGCTCCGAGAATTTTCTACGCTGGATCACGAAGTCCAGCACGTCCAAGCAGTCCCGTGACGGCAACGAAAGTCTCTTGCAAAGGCATGTCACCCGATGCGATTTCCTTCCTCAGAAAAGCTAAGTAGCCATCTCACTATCTCTAGTAGAGAGGAAGAAACAGGAGAGTAGCCTTCGACTTCATTTGCATGAGCGCAGCAACGAGGTCATGGAAGAGGCCACGGTTTCAAATTCAACAACATCCATCTCGGACATGAACTCCTCAATGTTCCCACTTCTCGCGTTCTCCATGAGCGTCTCGAGGAAGTAGCAACGAAGCTCTTTCTCGGGGAAATCGGGGAAAAAGAAAGAATATATAGAGTCAAAAAAGAGAGGGACGTTTTACCCCTCTTGGTGATGATCCTACTGTTCTAGAGCTCCGAAAATTGAATTGGAGCGAGAGAGGGAAAAAGGATTTAAAGGGGAAGAACCTTCACTGTGTAACCGGGTGTGTTTTCCTTTTAAATCTCGAAAAACTTGATCTTCTCTTTTCGCTGGATGCTTGTGCCTGCGAACAGAGCTCTCAGGTTTACAAAATGAAAGAAATATAGAACAAACCTGATGGACAGCCGGTGGTGACAATCTTCTCTTTGGATTGATCCGGCACAGCCGCTGTAGCTCCACCGGCATTTCATCATGCCAGCTCCACCACTTGGAGTGCACGAAATCGTTGGAAAACATCCTCTGTGACGAGATCTTCGCGTTACAGTCGGGGCCCCTCCCGCAGAGCCACGGCTTTCTTCCCAGGAAATGCACAGCGTACAGCACCGGAGGTTCGGCGGCAAAGAGCTCCATCTTGTACTCGTTCTCTTCGGCATCGTCGTCAAAGTGCTTGAGAAAGTTCATGCTCCTGGGAAGCCTGTGCCACCACGTAAAGATCTCGTTCAGGTAGCCTTGGTCCCCGCCGTTGTACGACTTGATCCGAGAGATCCCATCCACCAACAAGTTGAAAGTGCAGTTGGACGGCTCTATCACCATCACTCCGGAGTTGAAAACGCTCTTGTGGTTGCGGGCCGCGGACAGCTCCGGTAAGTCGAAGAGGAAGTCCATGTTTCTCGTCACCACCACGTCCGCGTCTATGAACACCACTTTGTCATACTGCGTCAGCTGCCATAGCCGGAACTTGCTGTAGTTCCACTCGTTGTAAGCGTCTGGACGAGCTCTCGGGTTCCTGATCCTTTCAATGTGATGGATTTTCCAGCCAGCACCTTCTAACCCCTGCCTGTCTTCGAGATTTATGTGTTGGTCTATAACCATAATTAAATCTCGAGTCGAGCCGGTCTTTCGGATGCTGTGAGCGAGAAGCACCGCTCCACACACGTAAGACTTGACGGAATGGAGGATGGTCGCATAAGCTTCTCGAGAAACAGTATGCTCACCTGAGTTACAAACAAAGACGAGAGAATCAGAATCACAAAATTAAGAGTGACAAATAAAGCTTGCTTACTTGTCAGCGTTGGAACTTGAACAGTCTTGCAAGAGCCAACTGGTAAGCTCAGTAGCTTTCCAATCCTTTCCAGATCGAGTTTGTAAAGCCCAACACCTTTCTCTTGCCGGACAAGCTCCTTGCACTTAAAAACGTTTGGATCAAGCATACAATCGCTTACTCCAATGATGTGCGAGGCGCCAGTTTTGAGAGAAATATGAGCAGCAGAAACCGCAGCCTGCAAGCGGTCGATGTCTCTGAAGTTGGATTCGCCACACGGTATTCTCGCCACAACAAAGTCGAGCTTGAGATCTTCTGGAACCGATGGCAGTGGCATGTCCGGGCACTCTCTGTTCTGGACTTCTTCGTCTCTGTCGATGGCCTCGGGGAAAAAAGCCGACCAGGAAAAATCTCTCTTTTTGTCGATGCTAAAAAGTACCGGCTTTCGGCCTCCGCCAAGAGCCTTCCACTTTGCAACATCCGGCTTTGGAAAATTCACCAGCCCGATCCTCAAGAACCCGTTGTTCTGCAACTTGATCGAATCAATCTCCGGAGACCCTTGGAGGAATTTGAGCACTTGTTTGTCGCTGCTCGGCACAAGCTTCGTGCGCTGCTCATCTTCCGACGAGATGAGCTTCTTGTGCGACCCGTGCCTGTGGATCAATCAATCTTTCATCATTTCAGTTTGAGTTTGTAAAGTACCTCGGCAATGGAGTGTCCAGAACGATCTTTCTGTTGAAGAACGTACCTAGAAACAGCAAAACGAGGAACGCAAACAAGAATGCGCTCGAAAGTAGCTGCGCCTTCGGTCCAATCTTCTCGTGGCATCCCACCTTTTTTCTTTGGTGCCTCTTCTCGTCTCTCGAACCCGAGAGAAATTCATGAAGTTCGTCCCTGGATCAAGGCTATAAGCTATCAAGAATACTCTCAAGAACAAAATCTCGCTCAATCCAACCACGTACCCGCTCTGGCGATGCCGAGCTTCGTTCATCGTTGCCGCCACCAAAAGAACAAAACCCGACGAGAATCGCCAAGCTTTTGTTGCGCGCCGACGTGCGGGCACGCTCCGGCCATCGTACCAGCTTACGGAAAAGGATAATGTATCCCTAGAATTCCATGGCCCGCCAAAACTATTCCATCCTGCCACGACCACGATCGTGCTGTCACGCAAGAACCCTAGAAACAGAGCACCAAAAGCCCTAGCCCAAAATTTTCAAATGCACGGCCACGATGCAGCAACATCGACGGCTCCGCGAGCATGCGAACGAATATCCTAAATTTTAAAAAAAGCTTTAGAAACGGACGGTCCTGATAAACATTCAAGATGCGGACGAATATCCCGAATATAAAAACTTTAAACATTTTTAGATTTAGAGAATTTTTAAACTATATTCGGTCCCGATGACACTGCATCGACGGCCCCGCGAAGAGATGCGTACGAATATGCTGGATTCAAAACAAACTTAGAAACGTGCGGTCCCGATGGCACTGCATCGACGGCCCTGCTTCATTCGAAAGAACAAAAGTTTAGTATACAAAGCCAAAGCGTTTTTGATCCTTCTTCTTTCTTCGATTGCTGGTGGCACGATTCTTCGTTGGGCTGGAGCTCTTCGTCCTTCCCTCGCTCCGCCGAGAATGCCGCTAGAGAAGATCATCACGATAGCACAATTCCTGGAGCGTCTCGATCTCCGGCTCGAAAAGAGCCACCACCGCATCGATGCTCCCGTCCTGCGTGTGCGATGGCAGTAAGATCATGATCCCCTCGTACAGATCCAGTACGTTGCCGACGTAGAGAGGCGTCCCCCAGCCGAAATCCACGTCGTAGAGCGGGAACCTCACCCAGCTCGTCACCACGACGTGAGGAGACATGCTGGGAGGCACCACCACCTCCGCCACCTCCTCGTCTTTCATCATCCTGTTCTGGAGCTCCATAAGTTCCAGCGCGCTGCGCAAGTAGCTACTGTCGGCCTTGATGATGGCACCGTGGACGAGCTGCGCTGCGTAGCACAGTGGCCGGCTCGTCAGCTCCCCGGCCTCGGTCCCGGACGACGGCATGAAAGTCGCGTTGCCGAAGTAGCTCTCGGGGATGGCCGGCTCCAGCCGGCTCCTCCCGTTCATGGGGATCATTATCTGCGTCTTGGTGTCGCCGGTGATGCCGCGGGCTTTGGTGATGCACCGCCACAAGTGAGCCGTCAGGCTCTCGAAAGTTGTCACGCCTCTGGTGGTGGAGGAGGCCGGCTCGTCCGTAGAGCTGTCTCCCCCGGCTCTTCTCTTGATCCTCTGGAGCAAATCCATGCTAAAGTGGAACTTCCTCGCCGCGAGAGGAGGAGTTTTGGCAGCACCTGGGTCCGGAGCCGGCGCTGGAGCCTGAGGAGGCGACAGCAGCAAGTAGTCATCCTGGAGCGGCTGAGCAGTTTCCCCGGCATTTAATGCACTTCTATCGCGAAACGGGCTGCAAGCCAGTGGAGCGCCTCGGGTGAGCCGAGACCAGTTGTCCATGAAGCTGAAGAAAGCCTGTCCATCTGCGAGACGGTGGTGCCAGGCAACGCCGAGAACTATGCCACCACATTTGAAGCTGGTCACCTGGAAACAAAAAAAGAAAACAGAGGAAACACAAGCGTCAGAGATAACCAACAGCCAGAGAAAAGAAAAAGAAAAACTTTGCAACTTCGATGAGAGAAAACAAAAGATCAAATGCAGGTCTGATGCATTCTTTTCCTCAATCAATCAATCAAGCAAGCAAGAAAGCAAGCAAGCAAGCAAGCATTGAGCAGCAAGCAAGAAGCATTAGTCTAGAAGCGGTAAGCTAAAACAGCAGACAGAGAATCTATGCTAGTACCTGGACAAGGAGCAGTTCTTCAACAGATTTCGTAGCTGGAACCAGCTGGAAAAGCAGGGGACATGGGTTAAAAGGCATCAAATCCTGGAGACAGCAGTCCATGCTTGCTTCCATTAGTGCAACCCCGTCATCATTGAGATCAATAACCACCTTGCTAGAGCCGACGCTGCCGCTCAAACCAGAGGAGCAAGAAGACGATGATGATGAAGATGAGGACGAAGAGTCCTTGCACAGCCTGCCTGCCCATTCCGGATACTCGTCCAAAGCCTCTGCCAGACCCCTTTCCAGCTCCTCAACCACACCAGGCCTGGTGGGTGCCTTGAATGCGTAGATTGCCATGGCGTACACATTCGGGATTGCCAAATCACAGGTACTTAGCGGGACGTTCCTTCTTCCGCTTTTCCTGCTGCTGCTACTGTTCCTGGGCTTCACTGATCGACGAGCTTTGAGAGAGGATTGCCTTTGAGCTGCTCCTGCTGCTGCTGCTGCTGCTGCTGCTTCTTCCATAACCCGACCCGAGCAAAGTGGAGAAGACAGCACGGGCTGCCTTATAAAGAGGGAGAAACTGTTGCGGTAACAGCTAGTTCCCAGCTCCTCAGATATGAATTCCCGGTCGCAGATGGCGCTAGTACCGCAAGATTACCAGTCGTTGTTCCTTCCTCGTCATTGTCAACTTTTCGGCGTTTGTTAAGCGCTTGTTTAATCCCCGAGCACATGAAGAGTTGCCCAAGACCCACAGTGTGTACCAGGATTGGAAGGCATGCCCATTGAGCGGCACCAGCCGAAACTCGCACAATACGCTGGACTAGGCCATTATCATATCCGCGCCTAGAGCACAATATATAGCTCCCTGCCCCTGGTACCTCGCAAGCAAACCAAAAGACTGTTGCAGTCCACACGGATAATGGAATGGAGAAAAAAAAAATGCTTAAAGGCTATGCAAGAAGCAGGAGCTAACTTAGCTTCTTCCTGGTCAAGAACAGAGCTGTAGCACTCACCAAGTTATTGAAAGTTGCGCGTATCTATGCGGAAAGAAGGCTCCGCCCGTCCCCTCTCCTGCAAAAGAAAAGCAAGAGAGACTGAGACCTCTTCGTAAAACAACAAAAAGGAACCACATCGCTGCCTCTAGTGCCATACAAACCACGCACCTCTTGTCCGTCCAATAAAGAAGCTGGGGCTGCGAGTATTTAAATCCCTGTAGGAGCCGAGCCACAACATGCCTGCCATATGCTATAGCAATTGTTTTCCCTTTTGGCTTCAGCACAGGGTGGACCAATTTGCTGGAGGAGAGTCATACGTAGCCCGTAGACTATATATATAAAAAGACCGAGAAAAGGAAGCGCCATTCTCTCTCTCTCCTGGATCCGAGAAGCTGTGAACAGAGAGACAAGACGAAGGAAAGTAAGTAGAAACAAGAAACAAGAAACTTAGAGCTCGAAAAGAACACCAAGAACAAAAGCAAAAAAAAAACCTCTTGTTTGACGCTTGCTTGGTTGGCAGCCATAAATTTTTCTTTTCCTCGCGCTTGGTCGCTGCTGCCAGACCGGGGGGTTGATTGGCATGCCTGCGTTTCTTAATCCTTTCTCTCCTCCATGGATGCGGACACATCCCGCCGAGGTGGCCCAAGTCAGCTCCTGCTGTGGCGGCGGCATCGGCAGAGAAGGGATTGATTAATTCGTATCTGGTTGGCGCTGCCCATGGAATCATGTCTCTCAGAGCCTCGCAACTGGAAGTTTGGCAGGCAAGGAAAAGGACGCACAAGAGAGGAAGAGTCAAACAAGAGGGAGGAAAGAAAACACACGACGGACTGACCAGGCAGCGGTCTCTTTCCCCCTCCCCATGCTATCAGCCAGGAATTCGAGAGCGAAATCACTGCATCGCAGCCTTGCAACGCGACAAGAGATGTGGCAAGAGCAACATACCTCAAATCAGCAGCGCCAGTGGCTTGGATCCGAGGCGGCATTGTCCGTGCCAGCGCCCGGCACGCGAAAATCATCCATCGCTGTCGCGACGGCGTCCTCGCGCTAGGGTTCTTGGCCCGCCATCACTAATGAAAATTATACCACTTTTGCGCGCTAGCGGAATATGCCGCGCGTGGGATATGCCGTTAGGGCGAGGAGGGCCCGGCGATGGCCGATTAAAGTATCCCATGTGTTCCATATGCGAGGAACCCACGCGGGCAGAGAATGGGGAAAGGCGATCGCGATGGCGTCGGTTGTGGCGGCTGGTCTTGGCAGAATTTAGATCCTTCTTCTCTCCGCGCGGCGCTCCTCGGGTATGATCTTTAGGGTTCTTCCTTGGGTCTCGGCAGCATTCCCTCGATCTCTGCTGTGATCCACCCCAAGTGGCCGGGCGGGCAATATTTCGATGGGCTACGATGTAGATTCTTGCGCCAGAAGCCGATCGGCATCGATCTTTGCATCGTCCGAGCTCGCATTCATCACGCTGAGCGGGGCCGACGATCCGTCGTGGCGATGCTTCCTCCCCGGCCGCGATTGCGATCCGCTGCAATGCTTCCTGCCATCGCCATTCTCCGCGTCATCGCTATCGTCCCTGCTTCCATCCATGCCCGCCAGCTCCGCCAGCTCCGCCAGCTACTGCCTGGCATCGGTGTCCATAGCGGAATCCGGCAAGCGCCAGCTCTCGAGCAGGGCGAATTCCAGCGCGTGGTCATCGGCATTGGGGTTTGCTATCCACGGTAGCAGCAAGCTTGGCAGGAGGATCAACGCTCATCAAGCGCAGGAAAGATCTCTGGAAAAATCTCTGGAATACTTGGAGCACAGCGCGGATGAATCCATCTCCATCGCCACCACCACCCAGCGGCAAGAGAAGAGAAGTTCCAGCAGCGATTACTCCCAGTCTTTGAAGGCCGGGTCTTTGAAGACGTCCAAACATCTCTTGGCCGGAGCCTTGTCAGCGTGTATCTCCAGGTGTGGTTTTTCTCCTCAGTTTTCCTTATACTTTTCCTACTTGAATCTTTCTAACTTCGCGATTTTCTTGGTCTTTGTTGTCTTCTAGAACTCTCGTGGCGCCACTTGAGAGGCTAAAGCTCGAGTACATCGTACGTGGAGCCACGTCTGATGCGATGGATGTGGTGAGGACGATTCTTGCGTCGGAGGGAGTCCAAGGCTTCTGGAAGGGCAACCTCGTCAACCTCATCCGGACAGCGCCCTTCAAGTCCATCAACTTCTATGCGTACGACACGATTCGCAAGAGAATCACGACCGTGACTGGGAGAAAAGACGTGACGCCACTTGAGAAGTTGGCGGCTGGGGCCGCTGCCGGGGTCTTTGCCACCATAGTCTGCTTCCCAATGGACACTGTAAGTTCTTCTCGCTCGAAGTCTAGTTTTTTATTGGATTGAGTTGATCGGTCTTTCTTCCAGATTCGAACAAGACTTGTTGCTCAGGGAGGCGACGCACTAGGAGGGATCTCCGGCTGCTTCCGCCACATAATCACCAGCCAAGGCTTCACTTCCCTCTACGCTGGGATTGTGCCGGCGATCGTGAGCATGGCCCCGGCTGGTGCGGTGTTCTACGGTGTCTACGACATCCTCAAGACAAACTATCTTGCGTCTCCTGCTGGCCAGGAAGAGCAGCGAAGGAGGATGAGTGGCAGCAAAGGGAGTGACCAGATGGAGCTCGGGCCTTTGAGAACGCTGCTCTACGGTGCCATCGCTGGTGCTTGTGCCGAGACGGTGACCTATCCCCTGGAAGTCGTGAGGAGGCATCTCCAGTTGCAAAGCGCAGCGAGCAGGCTCGGTTTGATGCCAACGATCCAGGGGCTGGTGAATCGGGGTGGTGTTGGAGCTCTCTACGCTGGAATATTTCCCAGCACACTCCAGGTTTGGGAGCTCTTTGATTTCTCTTTTGCTCATGTGTTGCGTTCTCCAGGTTCTTCCGTCGGCGGCCTTGAGCTACTTCGTCTACGAGTGGATGAAGGTGACGATGAAAGTTTCGTGAGACACATTCTTCTGTCGCGTCGTGGTTGTGGAAGTGTGTATATATACCACGGACGATGATTGTTTCGCGATTGATCTTTGAAAATCCTGACGTTTGATTCATCGTCGCTGTTCCAGGGATCTATCTCTAAGGAAGAACTTGTGATGAGTTCCTGGCATTGTGATTGAAAGAACGATGAAACAAAGAAAATTTTACGCTACTTCGGATTTTCTTTTGCTGGCCATCGCTCCTGGAAAGGAAGTGATTGATCGTACGGCAAACTTCGCGAAACAAAAAAAAGAGAAATGGTTACCTGGAAAAACACTCGCAACTTGATCAGTGGTGACGGGCTTGTGGATCTGCAAAGAAACAATGAGACGGGAAGAAAGGAGCGATGATTTACTTTACCGCGGCAGAAATGTTGAGCCAATCGATGCAGCGAGGCAGAGAATCGCAAAGCGATGGCATGGTATCGTGGTTCCAGTACGTGATCTCGCGAAACTCCGATCTCACAACCCACTCGTCTGGATCATCAGGGTTGCTTGGAGCTTTCTCAAGAACAAATCCTACATAGAAAGAACATTAACAGGGAAAAGAAATCCAAGAACTTTTGATTCTGGTTGCTCAAACCTCGGTGGTTTTGCGGCAGCGGCAGCGTCGATCCCACCAGCCTCCTGCCCCGAAATGCTGCTTCCTGGATCTCCATTCCATCCGCCTTCGCGCCTTTCCTCGCCATTTCTTTGCATTAGCCGAAAGCAAAAATTTCCACGCAATCCATCATACCAGTGCTCTTGCTGCCGAAATACGCCGAGACATTAGCTGGCCCGTTGTGCGCGATGCTACAGGGAAGATGATGGAGCGAGCATGGCGAGAGTTTGTCGCCATAACCAACGATGCGCCCTACTTCTTCTTTTTCCATAGCCATTCACGCTTGTTCAAATGTGCTGGAGTAGCTCAGTTGGTCAGAGCGTGTGGCTGTTAACCACAAGGTCGGAGGTTCGAGCCCTCCTTCTAGCGATTAACTTTAATGCATCGTCATAGTTTTAATTTGTATTTTTAATTAGTTATTTCATTTACCTTTAAAGATTACGCTTGACTAACCGAAAACCATTTGCGACTGTTTTTGATCCCAAAAAAATCTACAAACCATCATAGCAATGTAGACATGCTCTTTCTCTAAGACACTTTCTCACTAAAACTCGATCCATTCCTCTTGCATGGAAATGCGCCATTCCATCTTTCCTTCATTGTCAGCTGGTTGTGATCGTCGCTCATTGCCTTCCAGTCGCCAAAGCCACGCGAATCGATCTACCTCCCAATTCCTGGAGCAAAACGAGTGAGCCAAGAGAACTCACAAACCAAAGGAAAGATCGATCGAACTTACTGCTCCATCCAAAGCGCTGATGGCGTTGTTGGCCTCGTCTGGGGTGGCAAAAGTGACGAACCCAATCCCCCGTGACCTCCCGCTCTCGGCATCGGTTAGAATCCGGCAGTCTACCACCGTTCCGTGCGAGCTGAAAAACTCTTGCAGGCCTTGGTCGTCCACGGACCACGGGATGTTGGCGACGAAGCACTTGGCCGGGTTCGCTGGGATGCTCGGTCTGGTCCCAAAACCACCGCCAAAGCCTCCGCCTCCTCGGGGAACTTGCGGGTAGTTTACTCTCAAAGGCCGCCCCTCGAGTTCCTGGAAGAAGGATCACGCAGTTGCTCTAACTGAGATGCAATGATAAGCGCTTACATGACCATCAAGTTTCTCGATGGCAGTCTTCGCAGCATCCTCCGTGGAGAGAGTGACGAAGGCAAAACCGCGACTCTTTCCAAGCATCCGATCATACATCACCTACAAAGCACAAGAGAAAGAAAGATCTTAGCAACTAAGTTGAATGAAAACGATGGAAGGAACAGAGAAAAGGGTACTCACATTGACTTCTTCCAGTTCTGTGATGCCCACGCCATTGAAGCAGTCTGCCAGCATCTTGCTATCGACGTTCCATGCAATGTTCCCGACGTAAAGTTTGGTGTTGGGCGCTGGCTCGCTGCGAAAGCTCCCAAAGTCCCTCTCGTCGGGCTCTGGCACCACGAACTCCTTGTCCACTGGCTCCGATGGCTCCGGGGGCAAGTCACTGAGATTGGGCGGAGGTGGTGCCCAATCCTCCTTGTCAATCGACTCGGCTCCGTACCCACCATACGACTTGGCCACAAATTCTAGGGGTCTTCTCCTGGATAGTACGGCACCGAGATGGAAGGTCTCGCCCAGCGAGAGAGAAAGGGGCCTCGACGGCACCGAAACCCCAGCGATGCACAGCGCCATGGCTCTGGGAGGCGCCGCCAGAGCCGCGGCACCGCCAATGGCCGTAGACGAGAGCGAAATACACGAGGCCGCCATAGCTCTTTTCCTCTCTAGAACAGGAACAACACCAAAATCAGGCTCGCATTTTCCAATCCGGCCTCCAGCTACACAATGCATCTAAATCCTTCCACAATCCTTCTTACCTTCGCAATGGAATCGTCGCCGGCGTTACGCGAGCGCCTCAAAACCCTTGGCGCCCTCTACCAAGAGGGAAGAACAAAATGCCTTCTAGGGGATAAGCAGGGCTTTAAGGCGTCGGGGTCATGCAGACGTGGCGGTATCTGGGCCGTCCGCTGATGGCCATCGACGGCGACAAATGGCCATGTAAGGGAAAATATCTGGCCCAAAATCATAAATTAGGGCACGTAAATGATCCAATGGCCAGGATGGCATCTTATCTGGTTTGCATCAACGGTCAAAGAGCTCACACAAGCTTATGATTTTTCTGTCAAAGAATTATCGCTGTAGTAGCAAAAACTTTTAGATGCCACTGAAGAACGCGAATAGATCACCACCAATGTAATCGTTGTCCACCAAGCTTACTAGATAGTAGCTCTCCTTGATCTGGAGCAAGGACGCAAAAAGCTTTAGAACTTTAGAGAGAGAGCTTCGAATGCTTGATTACCTCGTGAAGGATTTTCTTTGCTGGATCGTCCTGGGCTTTGTACAACGAGGCCCATTCGTCTTCCCAGCCTTGGAAGGCTTCGTCCTTCCAAGACATGAAGCTTATCGGATCCACCACCGTCGGCTGGATCACTTCCTTGGCAGGAAAGACTCCCCAAGTGACTGCATTCACGTCTCCCGGCCCGACGTTCGACTTTGTTTCTCCCACGGAATTCACTGCGATGTAGGTGAGCGAAGGAAACTCTTCGGCTTTTCGGATGAGCTTCTCCAGCTTCTCTGGAGAGCAAAAGAATTCGACATAGGCCTTCTGATAGACGTATCCTCCAGGGCCTCCCCAACCTGTACAAAAACACGTCTTTAGTTTTAGAAATTCAAAGGCTTGTCGAGCTTACCAACAGCAGGAGAGTCCGATTTTTCGCCATTGACAGCAGGCTGGCTGTTGATTGTCAAAAAGCCGTCTTTGTTAATCTTTACGAGCTCGCTGTTGATTTTCTTGGTCTCTAACTGGAGACCTTCCAGCTCGGACCAGGGAAAGCTCTTTAGTTTTCCAGCACAATAGTTGGCAAATTTCTGGTCGGGTGAAAACATAACGATTCAGAAGAAAGTTGGAATAACGAATGTGAATTACCTCTGCAATATCTTCGACGGAACTCAGAGGAACAACCCACTCCTCTTGAATCTTCTTGTTCCGGGAGCGTCGTCTCAAAAACTGAAAAAAAAAAAAAAAACCCGCTCTATTACAAGCTCACAAAACACATAACTTCCTCTACCTGATAGTCTGTCAATGCACCGTAAGCAGGGCTGCGAGAGTCGCCCCATCGACCACTTGGATACTGGTCCCAAGCAGTTGTTCGTGAAATGTAGCTCTTGGGACGATTGGCCCTGCCAAGGAAAATAAGAGCTCTCTTTTGACAAGTAAACTTCCAAAGCTTACCAAAAAATTGGTCGGACATCTTCCCTTGTTCGCCTTACATTTGTTGGAGGCCTCCAGGGAAGTGATCGTCTTACTTGGCTTATGTCGATCAGTCCGAGGTTCTGTCGAAAAATATCAAACATAAAATGTTAGAAAAAAAAAAAAAAAAAAACAAATGGCAGATGTCGCGAAGTTGCAAAGTTACTTGAAGAATTGCAATGGCAGACTTCTCCATATTCAGCGTGTACAAATGTACTGCATTGATCCCCGAAGCCAAAATCTTTTTGCACATCTCTGTCCCAAGGTGGACGCCGAAAGATCTCACTGCTTCGTCGTTATCTTTGATCGGCTCCAAAGCGGCGGTGATGTCTGCAGGAATCTGTCATATCCAACTCAAAGTAAAGTTTTCTCCAATCTGTTATGCTTTAAACGTACGTTTGTCTTGCAGAACCCAGTCATTCTAAGAAACCCCTTATAATTGTTGATCGGCATTATCCCCGGAACGATAGGACAAGTGATTCCAATCTCGCGACAGTCGTTAACGAACCGAAGAAACAAGTCTGTGTCATAAAAGAGCTGCGTGATTACAAAATCACCTCCAGCATCCACCTGTGGACAAAGAATTCTTCATCACGTACAAATCACTCTTCATGATCTTACCTTTTCCTTGAGGTAAGCGAGATCCTTCTCGTATGCTTCTTGAGTTGCAGCATCACCAGAAATCACGTCGGGATGAGCCTCTAAATGATGAAACCGTGTAAGCACAACGGAAAACTAGCAAGCAACAGCAATACTAACCAGGATATCCAGCAACAGTGATGCCAAAATAGCCACCATATTTTTTGCGTATGTGTTTCACCTGCAAAAATACAAAGCTTGAATCATTCCATTCCCGAGAAAAGCAGGACGAAGAAGAAAAAAAAGCTAACCAGATCAAGAGCGCAAGAGAATCCATCCTCCACTTGAACGAACTTGTCCTGGCCATGCGGAGGATCTCCACGCAGAGCCAGAATGTTTTGGACGCCATTGGCTTTCACATTCTCAAGAGCAAAGTCAAGTTTACTCACTGGCATGTTTGTGCAAGTCAAGTGCATCATGGATTCCACACAGATCTGGAAGAAGAAATAAGGAAAACAGAAAATTGTGGCAACCGAAAAAAGATCTTACCATGTTTTGCATCTTGTTGACGATCTCCAGAGTTAAATCCGAGGTGGAGCCACCGGCGCCCCATGTAATGTCGCAGAATGCAGGCTGGTGCATCACCATCCGGTCCATCCGCTCGAACAGATTCTCGACACCCTCGTCGGTCTTGGGCGGGAAGTACTCGAAGGAGAAGATCGTCCGATTCTCCCGCTGCGCATCCTTGATCTTGTCCACAATCCGCATTGTAGGCGCTGCGAGCAAAGATCTGCATTGAGATTGAGGTGAGATACTGCGTGGATCGGGATCCCTACCTGGATCGAGAAGCGCGCCTCGCGCCCTCGCGCCCTCAGCCACTAAAATACAACAGTACGGTAGACACTGTGAGGTACGAAAACCCTAAGTAAGTAGCTTGACTTTTTTTGACTGTTAGCTGAGATTTAAAGGAAATAAATATGCCCTAGCTCGCAATCCCAGCCGTCCAACCACGAACGGTTAACTCCCCATAGCCCTAAAGTTTGGGTTTAGGGTTCTATGGAAGTCGTGAAGGCGGGATCGTGCGTGCTGCTCGACATCAACAATGGCGAGCATTTCGTGTTCTCGCGTCTTACCCCGGCCGCGTAAGCGTGAATCCTTGTGTATTTCTTGCAATATCGAAGATTTCTTCCCTTCTTTCAGCACTGTCAAGCTTGGCAAGGCCAAGTATTCTCTTGCGCCGGTCATTGGATGCCCGTTTGGATCGCAATTCGAGCCCAAGTCCTCGTCGCTGGAACGATCGTCTCGCGCTGGTGATGGGAAGGTTTGGGATCGCTGGTCTGAAAATTTGGTATTGTTTCAGAGGACAATAACGCTGGCGAAGAGGAAGAGGAGGAAGAAGAAAATGCTGCAACGAAGGATAACAGGAACCTCATCGATGATAACACTGCGCAGACACTCTCGGCCGAGGAGATCCATAGCATGAAAAGGTTCTTATCTTTTCATCTTCGTTTTTATCTTCTAAGATCATGAGCTTTGTAGAGAAGGCTCCTCCGGACAAGAGATTGTGAATGCGTTGATTGCAAATAGCGCGTCGTTTGAGTCAAAGACTACTTTCTCACAGGTTTTTCTTCCATTTTAGCCAAGCTCAACTACAACCTATTTACACTTTTACTTTTGCAGGAGAAGTACAAGCGGAAAAAGCAGAAAAAGTACGCTCCTCGGGTCATAATCAGGTGTCCTACTGCTAAAAGGTTGAATCTGTTTCTAGTTTTGACGTTGGCGTGGCACTAAACGTTTTTCTTTATTTTTTCCAGTGTTTGTGAGGCATATTTTTCTAAAACTCCAGCGAAGATCGGGTAAACTAAACGATAGAAGTTTTCATTTGTTGTGACTTTTCTTCTACTTGTTGCAGGTTTATAAGAGTTGATAGTTTGTCAATGATCTTGTCATTAGCCAATGTAGGCGAGATGTCCAACGTTTTGGTCTCAGATATGGTCGGAGGACTCTTGACGGCTGCAGTCGCAGAACGTTTGAGCGGTAAGGTGATTTGTTTCTTTAAAAGATGTGAAACCTTTATCCTTTCACTTCAGGCTTTGGCACGGTTTGTAGTGTCTACTATACTCCAAAAGCTCCATCTCTGGACATTGTGGGCCTCTTTAACTTTGACTCCGCAACATCTAGTAGGTAAATGGTTATTTCCGATACACCTCATATAGTGACTGGGATGGTGTAGGATATTTCGAGTTCGGCTTTCTACGCTTCTAGAAAGCTACAATTCTGGTTTACAAAACGGAGAGGCAGCACCTCTTGTCGTAGAACAGGAGAAAAACATGGAAGATGATTCAGGCACAGGCAAACTCCCGCAAAGCGAGCAACCGATGGATGTGCAACCGGAAAAGGCTGTTACCGAGGCAGAACAGGCGAAAGACATGGAAGATGATTCAGGCACAGGCAAACCACTGCAAAGCGACCCATCGATGGACGTGCAACCGGAAAAGGCTGTGACCGAGGCATCACAAACAAGCGTGTCCCAGATCTCCGAGAACTTGGAACCGGCCTCTACGAATCCAACAAAGCAACGACTGATACAGCAACCATCGAACGAAGACGTTTCTGATTGGGTGAAAACTGGATTCTCGAGGTAAGGTTTTCTATCTTTCTCTGCCGTTTTCGTGCTCTTACAACGCGTAATGTGTTCGTCCTTATCTATGCAGTCTGATAGTCGGGGCTTTAAACGCCGATCCTTTGAAGACTTTGCAGCAACTCATTCCGCTTCTAGCCCCCTCCGCTCCTTTTGTCATCTATCATACTTACCTGCAAGTAAGTATTTCTTTCTTAGATTCAGCTGTTTGAGAAAATCGTTCTTTTGCGACAGCCTCTTGCGGACTGCATGTTTGCCTTGCAAAAGGAACGCACGGCAGTCAGTTTGCAGCTCTCGGAGCCATGGATGAGAGAGTACCAGGTTTGTACTACCGGTGCTGAAGAAAAAATGTTTAATCTTTTCTCGCAGGTTCTTCCATCCCGCACGCATCCCCACATGCAAATGAGCTCCACAGGTGGATATATACTAAGTGGTATCAAAACTCTACCACAATGAAACACAAAAGGTGACTCTTTCTTTGACAAAATTTAGACCAAGAGCTTCATGGTTTCGATCTTTTAGCAGCTTGATTTATGATCTTCCATTACTTGCTGACCAAATAAGGATCGAGAAATTTGTTTGTAAGATGATCTTCGCAGCCTAATGAAACTCGACGCAGAAAAATCCTCAGGAACAAAACAACAACAAAGCGATAAAACTCCTCAAGAGGCGACAGCTCACATATGGACTGAGTGGTATAGGCCTTTTTTCCGTTCATTCAAGGCCTGACCAGATTGGAATTTGTGTGGCAGAAGCGTTAGGTGATGTTGCTCCGGCAGCTGCCTTCATTTCCCAGCTTGTCCAAGAGCCGTGCAACAGATAAGTCTTAAAAACTCTCCTTTTTCTTTCTCTTTCAGAAAGGGATTTGCTTGCAAGTTGCAACTAGAACAGACAGAAAAGAATCGTGTCCTTGAAAGCACTAGAACTTGGTCGGTTGGGCACGACTCAGCGTCGTGGAGTCGCAAATTCATTGATTGAAAATGTGGACTGAGATGGATTGAATTCTTGTAGGATTTTATGGTGCATGCAACGTTCTTGGTTTGCTTTGAAGCTCTGGGTTTGCTTTGAAACTCTTGGACATTTCATAAGAGAAAAGAATAGAGATCTTATCACGATTTCTTAGATAGGATTTGGACAAACGATGCATGTGGCAAGAGGAAACTATCGACGTTATTCAAGAACTAGCACGCCTTTTACTAGTGAATCTTTCTGTGCCAACAAAAACCAATACAACTATATCCAAACCACCGAGGAGATACTGAGAACAAGAGTTCCAAAAGAGAAGAGAAGAGAAAAAGGACGAAGAGCCTTGGTGTCTCTCTTTATGTGCAGACGGTATTCACGCCATATCCTCGGTTGGCGTTGGCAAACTTGGCGGCTTGCACGGCGGCGGCCTGGGGAGAGACGAGTGCGGCGTTGAGATGGTTGCGAACGGCAAGAGGGGTGTACTGGAAGTTTGGACGAGAGTAGGCGTTGAGCATGGCTGCGGTGCCTTGGCGGAGGAGCTGGCTGTAAGGATCCGACCTCCTCGTCTCCAGCGCAGTGAGAAGCGTGGTGCTGGGTCCGAAAGTGTTCCCGGCGAGACCCCCGAACACGGCCGAGACGGTGGAGATCAGCTGGAGTGGATCCGGCCACGAGTTAACGTGAGCAGCCCAGAAGCTGTCCATATCACAACCACCAGACCATAGAATATCAATATCGATATCAAGAACGAGACAAACAGAAGATCTAGGAGTGAAAGATGGAACAAACGAGCAAAGGCCACGAAGGAAACGAGCAAGACAAGCAAGCCCAAGCTCATGAAAACCATGAAAACTTACTCGCAAGAGCAACCGGAGGAAGGAGTTCCAGTGGAAGGAATGCCGCCAGTGCCACCACCAATGGAAGGAACAGTAGGAATGCCGCCGCTAGAGGGAATGCCGCCGCTGGAAGGCACGGTTGGAATGCTACCACTGCCTGGATCAACGCTACCGCCGCCTGGGCTACCACCGTAACTTGGGACGGAGCCGGAGCCGGAGCCGGAGCCGGAGCCGGAGCCGGAGCCAGGATTTCCATAGCCACCACCACCACCGCCAGTGCTTGGGACGGAGCCAGAACCAGAGCCAGAGCTGGGGCTGCCACCACCGTAGCCACCGCCACCACCGCCAGTGCTTGGGACGGAGCCGGAGCCGGAGCCGGAGCTGGGGCTGCCACCACCGTAGCCACCGCCACCACCGCCAGTACTTGGGACGGAGCCAGAGCCAGAGCCGGAGCCGGAGCCGGAGCTGGGACTGCCACCACCGCCGCTGGAACTGCCACTGCTTGGAACGCTGCCAGAGCCGGAGCTGGAGCCGGATGATCCAGAGTAGCTTAGAGACTGATCGTAGCCACCAAAGTTCTGGGGCTGAAAGTATCGCTCTTGCTGCTCGTAGCTCTGGAACTCATTGGCCAGCGCCGCCGAAGCAATGCAGGCGATGACGAGGAGGGAGCTTAAGCTCGCCATGAAAGACGATCGATCGCCAAGAACGAAGAAGAGGAAGATATCTCTCTCTTTTTTGTTTCTGGAGGGAAGACCTGGAGGGAAGACAAGGGTACAACTGAGAGTGCCTTATGTTCTTATACTCGGGGACGCTTCTTTCGGTTCCTTTACTCACAGAAAAATTCGTTTTTTCCTTCGTTTATTTGCTGTCTACGTGTTTCTCTTTTAAGGAGGGTGGTGGAGGTGGTGCTGGCACGCATTTCATTTAGTTTTCCTTGACCTTGGTGCGGCTTGATGATGAAGTGCACAGATTACTACTTCATATGGTTTTCAAAGATTGAATCGTTTTTGGAGTTTTGAGAGATTTTGGAGTTTGATTTCTCCCTCTCGAGTTTTGATTCCATAAGCTTGCATGGCATGATGAGCGAAAAACACTCTCTGGAGTCCTGCGAGCATTGAGTGCCCTGGATCAGACACACATGAAGCTTACTTTTTTTTTACTGTTTTTTTCCTTCCTGTACGCTGTACTGGCAAGGGAGAGATTTTAAAGGAGCCAACCTCTCGCTCTCGCTCGGTGACCAGCAGGGACAATTTATACGCTAGTACCAGCCTCTGGTGGTGGAAAAACTTACAGTTTTCTTGCTGAAGTTTTAGCTGGTCTTTCTGCCATAGCCGGCTGGCTGCAAGCTTTGAAAGGTTTTAAGCACGAGATTTAAGAAGAAAATCAATCTCTTCCTCTTTCTTTCCTTCTCATGTCCCTGACTTTCTGCGCGCCCCCGTTTGTGAGATGAAAGCATTAAAGTTTCCAGCGGGTCCAAGCAAATAACGACGTTCCTTTTCATGCCAAGCTGTGTGGGAATTTAATGGAGTCGACAGGGGCACTCCTTCCCACTTTGTATACGGTTTTATTCTACGCGCGCTGGCTGATGGAATCATCAAGGAATCTCTTCAAGCTCATATATATCCATGAAAGACGACGAAACCATGTATCGATTCAAAGCCTCTTTCTCGCTACTGGAATAGCAGAAACTCTCTGGTTTTGAAAGCTAAGAGAGGAGAGGAGTTTGATTGATCGAGAGGGACTCTCGCGTGAGGATATGAGATTATATCGTACGACTGCGCAAAGGCACGTGAAACTCTCCAAAATCTACATGCTCATTTGTTTAGATCCATTGGATTGAATCAATCGATACGCGCTTCCAGTAATAGACACCGATCCGCAAAGATCAAGAGATCTTTTGATGCCATGTTTGTTATTTCTTGTGCCAGGAGGACTTGTGTGTATTTGAACTATCACTTCCTCGGCACGTTGGCTTGTGTAAATGTATGCATTCAAGGACAGCACATGGTGTATAGTATACCCACAACCTATCACGGCATAGCTTTCACTATTCATTCTGTGCCACCATGGATTAATGACGTAGCAATCTGCAGCGTGGCATGCATGATGTTGTTGATGTATTTTATTTAACACACTTGATAAAATTTACATTTACAACATCATCAGAAACAGTGGAAATTGATTAACATTAACATTCAAATTGATAAACTGGTGAGTACACCTCAGGATTGCATTCAGGCTTGAACCCATGATGTACGGCAGGTAGATCAGCGAAGCCTAGGGTGAGGACAGAAGGCTTGGTGGTATAAGACTTCAAGGAGTTCAGCAAATGAATGGCTCAAAAGATTATAATCTGTCAGTATCATACATTATAAAACCTCATAAACAGCTAATGAATGAATGAATGATAATTCACTAAGTGCAAACTAACCAATCATAAATGTATTAAAAGCATTATTAACTTAGAAATTTGAAAGAAGTACTGAAACGTTGCAAAAAAAAAAAAACGTTTTTTTTAAAAATGTTTTAACCTTTTGTATATAACAAAAGGCATCTTATAATAGGGTAAATCTAGTGCTCTAATTACATGATGTTTTAACATAATTCTTAAAATATTTAAACAATATTTATAGAAGTTATTTTTCACAATTTTCCACCACAGATGGAATTATATATATACTGAACTATAAGAAAATAAAAATAATTTTATATATTTATTAATCTAATAATTATATTTAATTTTACTAAAAAAATAAGTTTACCAGATTATATACTCAACTCAAAATAGGATTAATAAATAAGCAAATAATGCAATAAAGGAGAAATGAGCTAATAAATAATATAGGGATTTGGTAAGGTGTATAATGGTTAGAAAAAAATGGTAAAAAGTGATTAGAATTTTTAAAATTTATTTATAAATAATTTATGGAAAAAATCAAAACTGTGCAATAAGTTTTATTCTGAAACTAAATGTAAACATCACAAAACTAATTTAAAAGCTATAGGAAAAAACTTTGTTAAACTCCTAGATCATAATTGACAATAAAATAATAAAATAAATATACAAATAATAAATATACACCAAATCTTAAAAAAAACATAAAACAATTTAAAACTGTGAGGGCCAAGTGTACGGCTACAATGCCGTATACTAATATTAGCGTAGTGGATTTTGGTAGCCGTCGGATTGGTTTCAATCCGGACCACTCGCTCCTGTATATAAGCTAGGGTTTTTGGGTTAATTGATATGCACATTTCTGTATTCCCTTTCCATATTCCATGCACTCACATTGGTGGAGGTGAGGGGCAACTTTGATTGTCCCTGGGGAGTGCTTGGATTTGGGATTTCGGTTTAGATCTAGCTTTTGCATTGTCTAGATCTAGCTTTTTCCATTTCCTTTCTTTTGTTCTTTCCTTTCAGGATTTTGGTTTAGATCTAGCTTTTTGCATTGTCTAGATCTACCATTTCTTTCTAGCTTTTTGTCATTTCTCTTCTTTTGCTCTTTCTTTCTCATTCATTTTCATGGCCGATCCGCAATCTCCTCCTTTGACTCTAGACCAGCAGTTGGTTCAATTGCTTGATGCTATGCGCCTGCAATTGAACAACCAAACTCAGTTGATGGCGGCGTTCACGGCACATGGTACAACTCCTCCTGCTTTTGGTGCCAATCCTCGCGTTCGGCCGGAGTTCTTTCGTGGGAATCCTGGGGATGATGTGTACCATTGGTTCGATCACTTCACGGTGATTGCCACATATCATTCTTGGGATGATGCTCGGCGTTTGCGTGAGTTCCCCACATGTCTTCAAGGGACGGCATTGCAGTGGTACAATGGATTGAGCGCAGCTACTCGTGGCGATTGGAGTGTTCTTCCGGACGTCTTCAAACGCGCCTTCGGACACGCCGACGATTGTGATGATGCCTTCCAACAATTGCATCGTCTTCGCCAAGGGCCATCTGAGTCGGTGATGCAATTTGGCGTTCGTTTCCGAAGTCTTTTGCTTCGTGCGGAGCCAAATATGTCGGAGCGGATCAAGCTAGGAATGCTGTGGCCAGCACTTCGTCAAGATCTTGTCGGACTTGTGCATGCACTTGCTCCTGCCACTCTTGACGATGCTCTTCGCTTGGCACAACGTTATGAGACGTCGCCTCTTCCACTTCTTGCTACACGTCCTTCAGCTCCACTTCCTATGAGTGATGGTCCTGTTCCCATGGAGGTTGATGC